ACCTTCAGCTTGAAGTGTCTGTAGCCCTGCTGGACGGTCTCGTGCAGAAGAGCCTTCAGCTTATCCTCACTGTAGCCAAGCCATCCAGCACTAGTAGTGTAAGCAGGAACAGCACGGCTCTGCTCTGCCTCCCTAATACGCTCCTCCTTGCCACTCTCTACCTCCTTGAGTAATGCAATGGCCTCTTCAGGAGTGATAGCATCAGTGATATACCGGAAGTCAATGCAACGGACGAACTCCTCGGGTGTCATCCCCGCGACGATCCGCCAGACAGGCTTGCCAAGTGTCTTGGCCCACAAGTCCCAGAGGGCATTGACGACGGCTCCCAGGGCAAGATGGATCACACCCTTCTCAGGACCAATCCAGCGCAGCTGGCTGTCAGATACTAGATGGCGCCATGTCTTGCCCCAGTTGGCTGTGAGCTCGTCCAAGTCCTTTCCAACGACGAGGGGTGCGAGAAGAGAGATGGCGGCGCAGACGATCTCGTTTCCACGGCCGATAGTAAAGGTCTATTCAGTCAAGGTGTTAGTGTTATTGTGGGTTATGGCGGGCATTGCACGATCCACATACCATTCCATGTCCAGCATGCGGGGAGTCAGTGTAGATGATACAGTAGGCTGCGGAGTAGTCGCCGGCTGCATTCATGGCATCGGAGCCAGTCTTGTCCAGGGATGTCTGTTCTTTGAGTTAATAACTGCAGAGCAATTGCATCGCCTGTTGAAATCGCCTCTGACTTACCGGAAACCGCACATCCCGGGTAGTGAAACCTGTGATCTTCACCATTGTGTAGGGTATATTTTGTAGAAATGGGTGGAGGGAAGGTCAATTGAGTAGTTTCAAATGAACAGAGTAAAATCAGGCTCTGGTCGTAGGCGGAAGAATCACAATCTCTTTTTCTTTAAGATGGATGTGGGGGGGGTGGTCATACAATGCAGTGTATGAAACGAAGAGAGATCTAAGCAACGTTCCAGGTATAGAACCCTAGACAAAACAGAGACAGTGAGCAGAGACGTCTCTTGCGCAAGGAATGAAATAGACACGAAGCAAAAAAAAGAATCAAGTTACATAGGGGGTAAAAGGCGCAAGATATACGGCTCTCACCCCTCCTCCCCTCCAGGCTAAATAAGGGAAATACATTGAATTGCGCTGGACTAATTATCCCGATACTGTGGGGAATCCATCGTCATTGGTGGAGGAATTCTTCCACCCCATGGGAACGGTTTTTCCACCACTCAACGTGTGCGATTTGACAGTCGGACCGCCTCCGTCCCCGTCCATGTTCCTGGAGTATCTTATCGTCTGGATGTCATGTCATTAGTACGCTAAGAACTCTTGGTCTGCTGACAAAATGATACAGTTCGTAATGCCGAACGACTGCGGCTGATCTCCGTCCGTACGTTGGATCGGCTTTAGATATGCCTCGTTACATGCATAAACACTAATAAAGGACAAGCCTTCACTACTTATCAGTCCGGCAAGACTAGTTTACATTGGCTAGCGATAGATAAGCCTGGGAAACGTGCTGATCAAACATGCCATATACCGAATGCAACGTAGTTTGTGCCTTCAAGCGGCGGATATCAATTTAAAAGTACTGGTGCTTTCATGGAATAATGGATTGGTGTCATGAATCAGGAGTGCACCCTCCTTAGACTCGATTAACCCGGTCTAACCTGGGCTTTGCTCAGCGTCCAGAGGTCTTCTAACCAGACAGGCCTCTCTTCTCGCTTTCGGAGAAGAAGATGATCATTCGCCACAGCTTCCGCACCAAGACTTCTGCCTCTTCGTCGAGAGCCTAGGACAACAAAGTTAGACACTGCAACCGATCGACAAAAAACAAGACTTCAATGAAGATAAAACTCACCTCCTCCAGTTGTTCCACCAGCTCTTGGGGATGTCCATGCTTGCGAACATGCTCTTCCACCACATCCACCAACATCTGTTCCTGGACACCCAGATATTCGACAATCTTCTTTTCCACGAAGGGCTTGAGCTGTTCGCTGACCACATTCTCGTCCACGAACTCCCACTTGACTTCCCAGTTCCACAATCCCTCCTTCTCGGTAGGGATCTCGGCAGCCAGTTGTCGTGCAGCTTGTGCCCGCTCCTCCTCGCTGAGTCCGGCAGCCTCCGCAGCGCTGTCGAACTTGATCGGGATGAGAGGGCGTCTCGCCGTTGCTTCCGGCTCTTCTTCGTCTTCCAGCAATCCTTCGACTTCGGCAACAGTCCGGCGGCTGGTCGCAGCCTGAGCCTTCTGTGCCGCAGCTCCAAGGGAGAGCTTGAAGCGCTGGGGTTCTCTGGGGGCCTGAGTCCGGGTCTCCAACTCCTCTGCCTGGCGAGCAAGGAAGTCGTCTGCCATACCACGTGCCTGTTCCCGTTGTTGGACAGAGCGAGCCCGCTCCCGTTCTTCGGCAGCACGATCGGCCTCATCCATACTAACTTCACGTGCTCGGAAGGCTGCACGACTGCGCAACCACGCTCCCCTATCCGCGTAATAGTCGTGGGCTTTACGGCTAGCCTCCGTATCATCGTTCCACTCCCCGAAATGCCTATCGGCTTCTTCGCGCACTTCCTGCATTTTGGCTTCCTCCTCCTTATCCCGCTTCTTCTCGCGCTCTAAAGCTGCCGTCCTACTCCGTTCGCGATTGAGCCAGCGTCGCTCTTGATCGAGGAATTGTTTCTCTGCTTCCGCATCCTTCTTCTCTTGACGGCGACGCTCCAGCTCTTCATCGCTCGCATCGGAGTCTTCATCTTCACGATTAATGTAAACCGGGGCGCCATTCACCGAACCTCCGTTCACAAACGCCACACCCTTCTGGTAATCCTTCGGGATCTGCACACCAAAGCCCTTCGGACCAGATGGCGCATTCGGCATGCTGCGGTCCCGAGGACCAAGAGGGATCCCGTTCGCCCCAGCAGCGGGTCCGCTTGGAGCTGTAGGTGGAGGGGAAGCCAGGCGGCTGATGCGAGAATTTGAGTTGCGTGCTCTTTCCATGGACTCGATCTCTTCCTCTCTCTTCAGACGCTCGATATCCCTACGGTTGCTTCTCTCACGGAAAGCTGCGATCTCCTTAGCAACTGTTTCCCTCATTTCCGGAGGAATATCAGATAGCTCATCCTCGACTGTGATGGGAATAGTGACGACTTCGGCCGATGCACCATCTTGACCCTCTGCATCCTTCATCGCAGTGTCCCCTTCGCGATCAATCGCCGAAACATCCTCTTTCTGAGTGGGCGATGACGGGTGAAACAAGTCCGAAAGAACGCTGGAGAGGGTCGAACGCGCAGCATCTAGGCGAGATTGCCGTTCCGCGGGGTCCTCCTCGCCTTTGCTAGCCTCATATTGCTCAAGGTATTTCAGAGAGCTCTCGTCAACGACAACCTAGTGTAAACAAACGTTAGAATCTGCTCATAAATCCCCCACATGCATAATACGTACCAGTAGTTGGCCCTTCTCAATCTTACTATCTTCCTTGTCACCGGCCTCCGACGGCGTCTGTCTCTTCAAAGGCACTTCGATGTCCTTTAGTACTTCCACAGCTGTACCCAGACTCTCGGGGTCCTCGTACTCAGCGAAACCGAACTTGCACGGTTTTTCATCCGCATCCGTAGCACGGATCCAGCGCCTAAGGTTCCCGGCAGACCGCAGAATCCTCTCAACGCCCTCGTCGCCACCAACACCCTCAGTAACTCCCCCAACAAAGAGTGTCCGAACGATCTCATCCCTGGTAGGCGGTTGCAGCTGCATCATCGCATCTCGCACATTCTGGCGCTGGGTTTCCAGATTCGACGAGCCCAGCCCGGCACGTCTTCCTGGGGCTTCGCGCTCCTTGCTAGTATCCGGGGTAGCTGACTTCGACGGTCCCGACGTTCCCAGGCGAATCACAGGGGCGGAGAAGTTGATGTTGGGCATATTCGGAGGCGGTTGAAAGTTCGCAGGGAAGCCCGCGGGCCGGCCTGGCTGTTGGGCGTTCGCTTGCTGCATCCCAGGGGGCGGAGTAGTTCCGGGGGCGGACATTCCGGGAGGGGGAGCTGTATATTCGCTGTTAGGAGTATGCCAGACAACAGAAGCAACCGGTGTGGCACTTACCCATGCCGGGAGGAGCTCCCGGGTAGGCCCCGAAATCAGGTGGCCTTCCATATAGACCTGGAGCTGTAGGATGGAGTCAGTAATATGTAGATAATCTAGAGCGCGAGGTTGTCATTTGGGAGGTGTGTCCTGCCTACCTTGGTAAGGATTATACATTGCGACGAGTTCGCAGCTCCACTGCAACGGCAATGATCACGTAGGGAAAATTAAAAGGCTTCGGCAGTCTCTAGTGTATGTGAGTGTCGGGAGACGAATAAGTTCAGGCTGAATTGGTTATGATGCAGAATATAAGAGAAACAGACGCAAGTGTTATTAAGGACACACCTCGATCTGGGAGAGGGAGATAATGCCTTATGGGTTGGTTGGAGGTGTTCGCGACGGTTGAGACTGATTTGCTTGTTCAAAGTTCGGATGGTCCGTGCGTCCTACGTCTTGGCGCATCGGTGCAGAAGAAAGTGACAGCCCTAGTTAGAACTCACCAATCTGAGGTCAGCCTTCACTAGAATTATGGTCTAGAGTTCTTCAGTATTTAACTAATAAAATACTTGAAGTGTAGGGACTACTAACATGGGAGCTATATGATATTGCTCCAATATTTATGATGCGATGACGTAGTTGGCCAGAGATATATATACCAGCTTGCGCCTAGATATCGGCTCCGTAAAGGCTGAGACTTTCGAAGTCCTAAAGTTCAGAGAAATTAATATGAGCCTTAACTTGCAATAGGGGCAGTATATTGAAGCTGGCACATGGAGACATAAAAGCAACAACCTTATATCCTTGGCTGACATGCAGCTCGTAATTCTAGCTACCAAGGAGACCGCAGTATATATTCATATCAAATAGGACGAAAATTGTAAAAGTGATATTTACTCAAAAACAATACTTAATCAGGAAGTTACATAATATTCGATCATATCATACATTCATTCAGTACTTCGTTGACGAAATCGTTTGCTATTGTACATGTTTCACTCTCGCAGGAGCGCGTAGATATTTACTCCTCTGGGTGTCCAGTAGCTTTTCCACCCTTGTGGCCAGCCTCCCTAGCTCTCTCATCTCCAGGCTCGAAGCTTCCACCAGAGGCAAGTCCACCCTTGTGGCCGGCCTCCCTGGCCCGAGGGTCTCCAGGACGGAAGCTGCCCGACGAAGCTTGACCACCCTTCGAGGCGATGTCTCTCTGCAGAAAGAAATTAGGAACACACGTAAAAGCGTCAGGATGATAGGGTATTAGCAATGTACATACCTGCTTATCCTCGTCCATGCTGGCGAAACCCCCTTGGTGGCTCGATTGGCCTCCCTTGCGGGCAATGTCCTCGACCTCGTCGTGGGGGCGGTTGGCAAAGTTTCCGGGGTTCGAGTTGTCGGCCATTTTTGCTGATGTGTGATGTTGCGATCTGAGAATTGAGATTCAAGAGTTATTGAACCAATTGTTTTAGTATGTGGTTTTCTGTGTTTGGATAGAAATGTGTTTTCAGGTCATGACAGCTGATTTTTCTTCATATTTATATTGCAGACCGCAGACCGAGGGCAGACCCATGACTACATAGTGATGTAGGATGTATGCCCCAGTAACAAGGCGAACCTGGATGCCACACTGCCTAGAAGTTCCACCTTCAATGGATCATCCAGAGGGCAGATGTCGCGATGGCCGCCTCTTACGCATGTATGACTGTAAAAACAGGCGAACGGTTCCATTGAGTGGACTCTAATAATAGAGTAGCTCCAGTATTGCTGACGTTCATTTTAGAGGAAAACTAGCGTTTTAGGTTTGTGTTAGACTTCAGGGATCTGGACTTTAGATTGATTGATGAAATTGATCTATGGGTATGAGGTTCAGGGCTCATCACTATTACCTCATAGGTATGAGGTAGGTGCTCCACTTGCTATAGAACACAACATTCTACTATGCTATTCATCGTGATTCTACTTTTGAACAATTTCTTCAATTACCTTTGCTTTCCGACAATATTGTAGCGTTTGGACTCTCTACCTACTATGTAAGTGGCGGGGAGGGGGGAGGGGGGAGGGGGGGTTTGAGTTAGACCTGGAGATATTCGATCCCAATCAAACACTTCCACTGCAGATAGTTGCCCCCATTGATTGAAATACCAAGAACAAATTGCAAGGAGAAATACAACGATGGCCTCTCTACAATCAACCGACTGTTCATCTATGTTTTTCTCACATAATATCACAGCAGCAAGCAGGGTAGAATTTATATTCACAGATAGAGCAACATATCTCCACAGTTATAATACAGCAACATCAATTATCATTCAGATTTTCACATAAATTACAACAGAAAAATCAAATTCACAAAATAGTTCTGCTTTACTCCTCAGGGTTCTCGCCAACTCTCTCGGCAGCACTGCGCCTTGCTTCGTCCGATACATTAGGATTATGTGCGGCACTAGATATGAGTCAATATATCTGGACAAATATTTGACCTCACAAAATAATATCAGTCGCACAACATACGCTTTAAGTCCAGCATTGACTCTCATCGGATCCTTGTTCTGTTCACCACTTTCGGCATAGAGGTCATGACTAGGCTGGTCACCACCAAGCTGGTCGAGCATCGACTGGGCGTTTTGCTTCGCCTCGTCCGAGACTCTGGGGTTGTTGAGGGTACTGTATGTATTCTGATTAGTTTCATTGAATCCTCATGATACTACTGCAAGGTACTTACGCCTTGTAGCCACGCATGGCATTGACTCTTTCTTCGGCGGAAGACATTGTGATAAAAAAAGTTGGAAAATCACTAAAATCGATTTGATGGACAAGAGTGTAGTTTGAAGTCGTTAGATGCACACTATGTTGAAACAAGTTTACTGTAGATGTTTAAATTTAACGGCTCGTTATCTCTTATACCAGCCCCTCAATGCTACCTGATGTCAGTCCCTTGCCACTGTTTATGCTCGTCATAGGGACATAATGTCTTCAAGGGTATCTCGAAAGTGAAGAAGAGTATTGAGCGTGGATTGGTACACGGTCCTATTGGTGGAAGCTTGAACTAGGGTTCTTCCATATCAACCCAAGGTTGACGTGAGTGGTACATCACCCAGCCATTCTACATTAGGACTCGCAAATTCATTGCCTTGTACAGACTACAGGCCATGAACAGGTTTCTGGAAATTCTTCAGGCGGTCTATAATATCAGTATGAGTATCTACTGTGTAAATCAGCTATGGTTTGCGAAATATTGGTTCCGAACTTCATGGTGACGGACACGTTAACCGGTGGTGACAATATCACGTAATTCGAGCATATTGTTCTTGTGAAACGTAAGACCAAACATATATGATGTATGAAATGTGAAATCTAGAATAGCATTAGTCACCAGAAATTCCAACTTGACGAATTATTCGCTCATATTGCCATTTCCATTCCGGGTTTAGGAATGATCCAGCATGACGCCTAACCCTGCGCTGCTGAGGATTTTAGCGATAACCATTTCAACCTGTACGGTGTCCCAGGGCCAATGGTAACAGTTCGTTCGACAGTACTTTGAAACATGCGTTCAAGATCAGCCAATGCATGAGTTTGATTTTCGAAAGATGGCGAAAGAGAAGCACTCTGACAGACGCTTGTTTTTCTACAAAATCGAGGAGGGTATGCTCAAGAAGGCGACTGCTGGCGATTACATATTATAAAGCAGCTGTTATAAAAAACCATGCAAACCCAAGAAGCAAAGAAAACATAGAGAATAGCACTGGTTGCCAACGGGACTCAGTTCATCTACTAGTCTCTGCCAGCTGGCTGGACTTGACACCTGTGATGGTATCGGTAGAAGTAACTTGAAGTAAACTTTGATAGATACTTCATATCGTTTCTGTTTCCTCTTTGTATTTCTTCGTGAGCCAAAGAGTTATGAATCTAAGAATCCTTACCTAGTAGTAACGGTTGTATGGCTTGAGCTATAGTTAGTTTTGTAGCAGACACTAGCATGGGTCAAAGCACAAAAGACAGCCACCCAGGTATTACAGGAATTATATGTCAGGATGACATTAGAAGGGTTTCAATATCAAGGCCTTTATAGACCACTAGCCGAGTATCCTGAGCTGAGCTGAACATACTAGTCACCAACGGAATCGCTCGCTTCGCATAGTCAGTCTCACACATATATTCGAGAATCATGCAATCATTGTATAGACTTGGGTTAATTTGATATATCGATGCAACATTCTGACTCAATGGACGGTAAGTTTATTGTTCGATGGAATATGTTGTGAGAATCTGGTGATTTTGGGTACGGTTGCTATATCACGTAGCCGTACAGGGTTATAACATCGGCACTTGAACAATAGGTTTTCCTCAGACTCCCCTCAATTATTGCTTTCAGGCATATCCGTGGCTACCAGGTTATAAAATCTTTTAAAAGGTATGCAACGAGCATTATATCCATAGTGGATTTAAGTCAGCCTATCATGGCTATGAACACATGAACAGGTGTCTATAGGGAGTATTGGCTGCGCAATTCTATTACGACGTGTTATGACAGGAGTTGGTTTTAGTATCTGTCTTAATCAACCGAATTCTTACAGTTTCCAGAATAATTCTGAAAGGGGAAAGAAAAAGTCTCGATCCGTCGATTGCAATTAACCGGCGGACGGAGAAACTCAGCAGTCTAGTAGTGGTAGTTGGAGTGCCGTAAACCGATAGAGTTCCCGTCCTAGATCACCGGTCAATGATTTCCGAGTACCTTTTGAGAAAGGAACTTATCCCGATCATCCTATTGCCGGAAAGTAAACTTTATGCAAGATTATGATCACGAGGTGGGAAGAAAATGAATGAAAAAAAAAAAAAGGTTTTGCTAATTTAGGTAGTCTTGAAGTTTGACAAGCGGATTAAGTATTCAGTAAGACATTATGACGATTGGTTGTCACTGTCAAAGCTATATTAGCCCATAGTTAAGTGGTACGTCGGGGCCCATAACTCCGGAGTTGATATTATGGGTACAACAACTTCTGTAGTCAACCGCCGACAGTTGCTCCCACCCCCATGCAAATTGGAGGCGATCGACAAAGTCGTGGTAATAGCATTAATAATAATAGTCTAAGTAGGACATACGTACTCCGTAATATCTGACAAAGGATGAGTAGTCTAGACAGGTCCTAGTCTAGTTAGTATAATCGGATAATTTCTTGGAAGGGAAAAAAAAAAAAAAAAAAGGGAAGGAGCCCCACGGCAGCCCCTCCAAAGCCGGACCCCAGCACACCGGTTGACGCCATAGGATTCAGGCCATTGTTTTGTCTGCCCACCTTCAGCGTCATCTGCCCCTCCGCGACTCCCGTTGTCTTTTTCCCTCCGTTTCTCTCCCAGCCATCCATTCTTCGTGGACATTCGTCTTGGTGACTTTCTCTTATAGTCAGGTAAGCCTTTCTCGAGTCGAGCTCGTTCATTCTATGACTCTTCTTTTCTTGATTCCTTGCTGTTGAGAGCTTCCCCGCACTGACATCAGCTATCTCTCCTATAGAATTTCAAGAAGCAAAAGCAATCACCATGCCGGCTTTCTCACAGGCTACCGAGCTCTCCGCCTGGAAGGAGCTCCAGGAGCACCACACTGCCGTTGGACGTAACATTGTCCTGAAGGAGGCTTTCGAGAAGGACCCTCAGCGCTTCGAGAAGTTCAGCCGTACCTTCAAGAACACTGTGGACAACTCGGATATCCTCTTCGATTTCTCTAAGAACTTCCTCACCGAGGAGACCCTCTCCCTTCTGGTCAAGCTGGCCAAGGAGGCCAATGTCGAGGAGCTCCGCGATGCTATGTTCAAGGGTGAGCACATCAACTTCACTGAGGATCGTGCTGTCTACCACGCTGCTCTCCGCAATGTCTCCAATGAGCCTATGCAGGTCGATGGCAAGAGCGTTGTCGAGGATGTGAACTCCGTGCTGGAGCACATGAAGGAGTTCTCCGAGCAAGTCCGCAGTGGTGAGTGGAAGGGTTACACTGGCAAGAAGATTGACACCGTTATCAACATTGGTATCGGTGGTTCTGATCTGTAAGTTCTCGCCTTGAAGCTTCAGAGCTCCAGAAGTCACTAACAGCTGTTATAGTGGTCCGGTTATGGTCACCGAGGCCCTCAAGCCATATGGTGCTCCGGGCATGAAACTGCACTTTGTCTCCAACATTGATGGAACTCACATTGCCGAGGCTCTCAAGGATTCCAACCCTGAAACTACCCTCTTCCTGATCGCTTCCAAGACCTTCACCACCGCAGAGACCACTACCAACGCGAACAGCGCCAAGAAGTGGTTCCTCGAAACTGCCAAGGATGAATCTCATATCGCCAAGCACTTTGTTGCCCTTTCCACCAACGAGGCCGAGGTCACCAAGTTTGGCATTGACAAGAAGAACATGTTCGGCTTCGAATCCTGGGTGGGTGGTCGCTACTCCGTCTGGAGCGCCATCGGCCTCTCCGTTGCCCTCTACATCGGCTACGACAACTTCCACCAGTTCTTGGCTGGTGCCCAAGCCATGGACAAGCACTTCCGCGAAGCTCCCTTGGAGCAGAACATTCCCGCCATTGGCGGTTTGCTGAGTGTGTGGTACAGTGACTTTTTCGGTGCCCAGACTCACCTGGTTGCGCCTTTCGATCAATACCTGCACCGATTCCCCGCCTACCTGCAACAGCTCTCCATGGAGAGCAACGGCAAGGCCATTACCCGCTCTGGTGAATACGTCAAATACACCACCGGCCCCATCCTGTTTGGCGAGCCTGCCACCAACGCCCAGCACAGCTTCTTCCAGTTGCTCCACCAGGGCACCAAGCTTATCCCGTCGGACTTCATCATGGCTGCCGAGTCCCACAACCCTGTTGAGGGTGGCAAGCACCAGCGCATGCTCGCATCCAACTTCCTTGCTCAGTCTGAGGCCTTGATGGTCGGTAAGACCCCCGAGCAGGTCAAGACTGAAGGTGCCCCCGACAACTTGGTCCCCCACAAGACCTTCCTTGGCAATCGCCCCACCACTTCTATTCTCGCTCAGAAGATCACTCCCTCCACTCTTGGAGCGTTGATCGCATACTACGAGCACCTCACTTTCACTGAGGGTGCTGTCTGGAACATCAACTCCTTCGATCAGTGGGGTGTGGAGCTGGGCAAGGTTCTTGCCAAGAAGATCCAGCAGGAGCTGGAGACCTCTGGCGCTGGCGCTGGTCACGATGCTTCAACCAGTGGTCTGCTGGCCGCCTTCAAGCAGAAGGCCAATCTGGCATAGGTGTTGCCATTGGGCAAGCCTGCCATAAATTGAACAGACAAAAAGGAGTATAATATTTCCATATTGATGAGGACATGAAGAGTCACCTTTCTGTTAATTAGTCACATCCCATTGAATGAGACATGTGTAGTAATTTTCAAATAATTGCCTCGTTTTTGAGTCGGAGTAATTAAAATGGGATCAATTGTTGCGGCCAAAAGAGATAGAGAAGGAGACGGTGTAGTTTATTTATTGCATGGAGACGGAACTTGTTTTTCCAAAGTTGGCAAGATTTATTGGCCCAACTCGGCCTTAGTTCCCTTGGATGTGCGGCTCGCCACCGTGTCTCCTCTCTGCAACTTTTCGACTCGACAGCATAAAGCGAGCCTATCCGCCTAGCCGGCGGGCTATGAGTATTTAACATGCCATTCGTAAAGGGTGGACTTGTTCAATTGTTCAATGCGGTCTCCTATTATGGACTGATTTCATCTTTGGCGGTGCAGGTTGCTGCAGGAGGCAACTCAGCGAGTGCCTCTCAGGGTGGATATGTTCACGGACAGCCCATGCCGGTTACATGCTTGAATCGGACAATGTGAGTGTGAACGATGATAAGAATCAGTAACTCCGAACCTGGTGTGGAGGAGACTTAAGTTTCGTGTGTTTTGGTGGGATATGACTTGTCAATAGATGCTAACCCTTACTCCGGTTTTTAGTGACTCCGGCGAACATGTAATGCCTCCCCGCGCTCATTGAGGATTTCAATCGATTGTCTGTCTGTCTAGCGCTAACGTTAAAATCTCTAGATTACCGACAGTCTCGGCAAACTCCAATACATTCCATTCCCAACCTGCAAGGAGACCTCCGTCCCCCTCGCTCTTCGCTACGGGGTTACGGAGACAGTTAATTGCACCATTGACAACGTTTCCGATGAGCTTTACCACCTCCTCGAGTATTATGTCCACTCCGATGTGCCGATGAACTGCCGCGTGCCTACGGCACCCCTCCTGCCGCCCACATCTTCGCGTTCGGATGACAAGGCACATGAAGGCGAGGCCGTAGGCACCGAGCTTTCTGCTTTTGGCGAGGAAGGACCTCCGTATACTCCAATTACCTTTGCGCTGCAGGGGACGTTGCAGCGCAGTCATCTTCATATCTGGACAGATATGAATGTGCTCATGCACAACATCGTCTCGACGCCAAAGAAGAATAAACAGAAGGCCAAGAAAGCGGCGCCGGGATATGCTGTGGCTGGTACTGCATACTCGGTTCCTGAGTTCGAATTGTCCTTTCTCAATGGCAAGAAGAAGGTTTCCGATGAGGAGAAGGAGGCAGCTGCAGTGGCCGAGGCTGCCCGTGAGCCTTGGACAGCGGGGCATGGCACGAAAGTCGTTCGTGAGCAGCCTCTCACCTTCACTTTTCATGTAAGTTGGGTGGAAGGTGGAGGAGGCATCGGGTGGCCAGCCCGAGGGCCTGCTGCTAGCGAGTTGTCGGGAGGAGCAGGTTTCTTCTCGAAACTGGTTTTCTTCGTTCTAGCCGCATCATTGGGAGCAGCCATGGCCTTGTATTGGGAACGGACTCGGCGACGGGGCTGGCGAGGCGATGGGATTCTTGGTATTCCATCTCGGGGAAAGGGGTCTGTCGGCGTTATGTATGGGAATGGCGGAAAATCAAATGGTTATGGGGGGTATTCCGCCAGCAACGTCTCGATGACGGGGAACGGAGGAGGGTATGGGTACGGGGGGTTCACGGCTGGGAAGAAAGATTAGACTGCGGTAGATATAGACGTATCTAGTACTGACAGTAACTGGATAAAGATCCCATTCTGATTGTAGCCAGCTAACTCCGAGTACTAATCAAGTGACATAGTATACATGACAGAAAGAACATCCACTGCAGGTGAGCAGGATAGCAGGCGACCTCCGTTCGATGTCAACGATGGCGACCTTTGCAATCCCATTCTATATACACCCCCATACCAGCCGTAATGATACACCATTAAAGACTAAACACAACTACCATCCCTGAGCTCTCATCTTCTCGATCCGACTAACCGTCTTCTGGAAGGAGAACTTGAACAGCTTCCGCCACCTTTCCATCCTCAAGTTCTTCCTCACTTGTCCCCGTCTGACGTGGAACTTTTGGCCATTGGCCTGGTACCGGATCCTATTCGCTGTGCAGGTCGCCTGCAATATCCTCAGCGCGGAGGCCAAATCTGTGCCCTTCTCCGGCTCAACATGCACCTGACGACCAAGAGTAGGCCCCAGCTTCAGCTCCACCCGCCGCACGGGAGCCCGGTAGCTTTCTGTTTCCGCGGACATGCCGACCGCGCGGGAGAGCGAGAGGGGGTCTTCGGAAGGACGGTTCCGCAGTGAGCCATCGGCGGCGGATTCGCGGTTGTTGATGTTTAGTTTGGAAAGGATTTCGTCGAAGTCGGAGGGTGCTTGCGTTGCGGTTTGGGTCTGAGGCTTCGTGGGTTCCGAGGGTTTGCTCGCATAACTGCGGACGGAGGATCTGTTCATGAATTGGGATGCAAGGAGACCTGATTGTTGCTTGTAGAGAAGAGATGTCGGCCTCGAACGGAGGCAGCGGGTTAGGGAGCGCATCTCCATTGTGATTGAGGCGCCGAGGGGAGGCTTTTCACGTGGGATTAAGAGGAGTTATCAGTTCCGGTCTCCTCGATAAGCCTTCTCGAGTTTTCAGGGATCGTAATGGCGGTGATGGAGCCGGTTGAGTTGCGGTATTGAAATCTCCGGATGCTTTGGCACCAAATTTCCAGATCGGAAATTGTACTCACGTGACTCAATATTCTGTTACATACTTCTACACCACGGCGATCTTTTTCTTCTGGGATTTCACTATATTGGAATTTTCTCCTCTTGGGAACTGATATCGGTCGTTGCGGTTGCATCATAGATACTTCTGGCTTCCTTAGATCTAAGAATTCTAGACTCTTCGGTCACCTAATATTTACAATGTCCTCCATCACCATCGCAAGTCTTCCCCGCATGAGTCGGGATGCCCTTTCAGCCTTGCTTCTTTCCACCAGTACTCCCAGTAAACTGGCCATCGTCGATGTTCGGGACTCTGGTTCGTAATACACCTCAGATAATTTCATACCCCTATCTACGTCCTATAATCTAACCAATACAACCAGACCACGTCGGCGGCCACATTTTCTCCTCAACCTGGGTCCCAAGCTCTTCACTCGACGTCCGCCTGCCCGAGCTCATCCGCACGCTGAAGGACAAAGAAAAGGTCGTGTTCCACTGTGCGCTCAGCCAACAGCGTGGCCCGTCCGCTGCACTACGCTATGCCCGCGAACGGGAACGTGTTTTGGGCGCTGAGGAGAGCCGGAAGCAGGAAGTCTTTGTGCTGGAAGGTGGGTTTGTCCAGTGGCAGGAGAAGTATGGCAAGGATACGAGGTTGACGGAGGCGTATGTGGAGGATATCTGGCAGGAGTATTGAGTTGTTTACTCTCTGGGGTACTTAACTTGTGCTAGTTTGTTTTTTATTTTTTATTCCTTTCTTTTTTTTTTTATCTTTTTTCCCTTGTTTTCTTTTTATGAATGGTTAGAGTTGTGCATGGGAGATACCCGGTTAGAGATTCAAAATAGATTGACTTGGTTTTGGGTTTTGCGAAACGGATGGACCGTCGGGGTTGGCGTAGATGACATAGAGTTGTCTAGTTCTCGTGTTTGTTTCTTTTGTTTTCTTTCATCCTCTTTTGTTGGTTGTGCAAAGATCATGTCTTATGATGCATACCTGGATCATACTAACCAGATGTTCGCATTAAGGCAAAGCCATTGAGAGAACACCATGTGGATTTGAACTGATAGCAACGGCATACAGAGTGTGGAGGGAGGGGGAGCTGCACAGTCAATTGCATTGCATGTCTTGCTGTCTGTTGGCCGATGGTGTGCCAAGTGGCATAAATAAGTGTGAGAACCATTTACTCTTTCTCTCTCTCTCTCTCTTTTGAATAGATTGATGTGATGTGTCTTAGCCCGTGACAGGGATCCAATTCCAACGGCGATCATGTGGTCTGAATTCCCAAGACGGCGGAGTAAGCGAAAACTGACCAACAGACTTCCTCCTCCATTCGATAATCAGGCATGCCTAGGGGATCATACGTCGCTAAAAAGATACCGACATGTCCCAGTTGCCGCCAGCCTGCTGCGGCAGCGTATGAGAGAAATGCATGTCAGCCAATGGCCTCCTGCTAGTACAATGCATTTGCGAACCGTGCTGGCGTTTGAATGAGGCTGGGGTGGGGTAAAAGAAAGGTATAAATGCGCTTCTTTGCCCACTCGAGTCCGGAATGATTTGTCGTCCAAGCAAGATTTATATTTAGAGTTGGTCGCACGCCAATACTAGCTGGAATTTCTTATCTTGGTCTGTCAAGACATGGCCCTCAATGAGAACCCATCGTTGGCGAACCAGTCGGCGCCGGCCAAAAAGATCAGATGTTTACGATGTAAAAAGGATACCTTCAAGTCTGCTATAGGGCTTGCAAAACATCAAGATGCCCTAGGTCATCACCACGTTGTTTGTCCCGTATGCAACAAGGAATTTGGCAGCGAGAAAGGCCGGGATGATCACCAAAGGTCATCCCACGACCGACGCCGGGCATCTAGGAGGAAGAAGAAGGCTGTTCCTAACTTAGTGCCCTCCGCACAGGGCTCTTCTACACAGCAAGAACAACAGCAGGGCAACCAACAAGTGCAGGATCAGGAGCAACTGCAGCAAGAAGAACCACCACCACAACAACAACACGTACAGTTGTTCGTCGAGAAAGGTGTAGAGAAGACAGCTATCGGTAGGGCATAGTATCCTTAGATATACTAGGTGAAAGCCGCTAATCGCAATCAGCTTTCTCTCATACTAGCAGTAGTACCACACTACACGAGCATTTGGAGAATACTGAACCTATTAATAGCTTTCTAAATGAAGTGCGATTATACTATAACGGTAACTTCTTTACGACCCTCACTCCTGCAGAACAAGAACTTGTATATGCGGATCTTCTCACAAAGTGTCACTCGCCTGTTCGTCTTCATAAGCAGAATTATACCATGGCAAGCCTGGCACAAGATAATCAGGCGAATCCGAAGAAAGCTACTGTTGCAAGAAATCGCTTTCTGGAAACGCCCATCTTGAACCTGTACGGTACGAGAAGAGCCGTCGTCCTTGATTGCGAAATGGTTCAGGTCAGAAGATGGCAAAGAGAAGTCGCCTTTCTGAGCGCCGTTGACTTCCTCACTGGGGAAGTTCTCATTAACAACTACGTCCGGCCGACGGGAAAGGTGACCGACTGGACGACTAGGATCAGCGGCATAACGCCAGCCGCAATGACCGAGGCTGTAGGAAGAGGGCAAGCACTTGATGGATGGCAGTCCGCGCGACAGGAACTATACAAATATATCGATGCTCAAACCGTCCTCATTGGTCACTCCCTTAATCATGACCTGGACGTCCTCGGGATATACCACTCGCGAGTTGTTGATTCGGTGATATTAGCTAGCGAAGCTGTGTTTGGTTATGCCTCTGCATTTAAGCGTCTCTATAGTCTAAAGACACTGTCAGAGGCGTTTTTGAAACTACAAATCCAGCCGGATAATCATCCCCACGTGTGCTTGGAAGACACATTCGCGACACGGGATGTGGTCCTGTCGTTTCTGCGGAATCCCGAAGATCTAGAAGTGTGGGCTGAAAATGCGAAAGCCAAGTATGACGCACAGCAAATACAACTCGAAGCAAGAAGGCGTGAGAAGAAAGATCAGAAAGCGAAGAAGGCAGCAAAGCAACAGCCGCCAAGTGCAACACAGCCACCAACATCCCGTGGACCTCTAAGGAATGCGTCCCAGTTGCTGGTTTTTGAGGAATCTTCCGGTATAGAGGGATACGGTGGATACGACGAGTCTGAAACAGTTCGGTGGTCAGACATCGCAGAGGCTTGCGGATGGCCCCATCCTGATACAGGGTACGATCCCTGGTCAAATTGAAACATTTCTCCGAGATTTAATCGATGCCTTTGTGTATATGTCTGACCGCGGTTTTTTGCATGTAATGCTGCGCGGCATCACATTATCTTACAGAGGTTTGACTGATTTTTCTTTTTCTCTTCTTTTTTTTTTTTTTTTTTTTTTTTTTTTTTTTCTCTTTTTTTTTTTTTTTCTTTTTTTTTTAACCTCCTTCCCATTTTCGATTCTCATATGAGGCACTGTCATGACTTTCTTATCTTTATTTTTTTGGGAGTGGACATCCTGTAATTTACTGAACTCCGAGGATTAAGCCTCTTGCCCTTTTGTTTGTCATTTATTTTTGTTGATTATACTTTTGTTGGAAGATCGACAAGAGATTTAGGGGGCTTTAAGCATGGATTTCCAAGATGTTATACTCAATAATGGTTCTTCACGGCACTATACATGCTGGAAACTATGATTGGGTGCTAGTTTCAAACCTATGCGGTTTTGGGGAGTTCGTCCGAAGAAGAACCCAAATATCAGGGCACCCGTTGATCGGGTTTCATTAATCGGGTGAGCTAAGCAAACCCTAACGGCAACACGATAACATCCCCGAGACCCTTGCCTCGGTAGGGCCTCATTAGAGACAAAGGCCGTAGGGTTCGGTATCTGATCTGCCACTGATCGCTGCCTCAGCCGGGGACATGTCCCGAGACGTGGTCCCTTGGCTAGCACTAGTGGTCACTCTGAAACACCGCTGCATTCTACCTATCAAACCGCTAAATCAAGCATGATGTTTTCGATAGAGCGATCACCTGGGGCATTGAGCGACAAAGGTTTCCAGTTTAGATGACAATGGATGCCGAAGTATACCCTGTTGGCTGGCATCGGTAGTGCTTTGACTATATATAGACGGCCAATTCTTCCCCAAGATGCGGTATACCAGAGCACTACTCTAGACTTAGACACAGTCATTCACACGTAACCGGCTACCATGAATCTCCGCCTGTTGACTCTTACTCTCGCTGCTGTGGCGGCTGCAAGTCCAGTAGACATCCAGGAACGCCAGCGTATGTGGACATCTAACGAGAACCTCCTACCTGAGTAACGTCTCTTGCTGACCATGTTTGACTTGAGCAGTCTCCGGCGGTAACGAGCTGCGAGATGGCTCTTGCAAGCCTATTACCTTCATCTTTGCCCGTGCTTCCACAGAGCCAGGACTTCTGGTGAGTCCCAACCAGCCCTGATTATTACAGTTTCGCCAAAAACTAACATACTTTCTATTAGGGCATATCAACCGGTCCCGCAGTCTGCAATGGCTTAAAGATGGCCAAGGCAGGCCAAGTAGCTTGCCAGGGTGTTGGACCCAAGTACACGGCAGATCTCCCATCAAATGCTCTGCCTGAGAACACGTCCCCAGCTGCCATCCAAGAGGCACAAGACCTGTTCCAACAGGCCGTCACCAAATGCCCCGACACCCAAATTGTTGCCGGTGGATATAGGTCCGTTGCCCACCCCCAACTGACCCACCACAACCAACACCGTAGTGTAACTAACTTCAACGAAACAGCCAAGGCACAGCCGTGATGGATGACTCCATCAAGCGTCTGCCCGACAACGTGAAGGAGAAGATCAAGGGCGTCGTGCTTTTTGGCTACACCCGTAACGCGCAGGAACATGGCCAGATCGCCAACTTCCCCAAGGACAAGGTCAAGATCTACTGTGCCATGGGCGACATGGTCTGTGATGGAACGTTGATCGTGGGCCCCGCCCACTTCACTTACCTTGGTAACACCGGCGAAGCAACTCAGTTCCTGCTGGGTAAGCTGAGTGCTTCGTCTTCATCTTCTTCCGCTTCTTCGGATACTTCGTCCGCGTCGACGTCTGCTGCTGCTGACTCTTCTTCGTCTTCGTCTTCCTCCTCGTCGTCATCGCCTTTTGGGAACCTTGGTAATCTCTTTGGTGGATTCTAGGCTATGGCTATGACTTGTCACTCTTTATGTGTCTGCTTTTTATGTCGCCATGACGATTTTGGTTTTCGGTTTTGGTTTATGCTTTTGGGTCTATGTGGACTGGAGTGAGGATTAGATGTTATTGGTTTGGATAGGTTATAGCTCACTGAATTGAATTCTGCTTCGAGTATCGCCGTTCAATTCAGCTCATACAGCTCCCTTAAACCTCCCATATAGCCACAGAGATGCATCACAAAGGCCAGCCGAGAGTCTTCTGGCAGTAATCTCTTCCAACCATTATGCGAACAGTATTCATACACTAGAGTTCGTAAACCTTATCCAAGAACAGCCCATTCCCTACACTTTTCCAACCACAAACAATTCTTCAGATCCTAATACCTCTCTATATCATGATATACATAAAATACAACCAAATCTATATTACAGTCCTCATCAACCCCAAGGATAACAACCATCACAACGCACTCTAAAATTGAATTCCACCCCCAAACCCAACCGGCCTCCTCTTGCCCTCATTCTCCGGCACAATGGCCATGAATTTATAAATCTTACCCATACCACCACCCCCCTTCTCCACCAAGCGCTGCCACCCACTTTCTAATGTTTTCCTCTTCTCCTCGTCCTTCTCATGTTTAAGCAGCTGCTGCATACGCTCTGCAATCCCCATCGTCTGCAGGAAATCCCCCTGCTCAACAGGCCCATGCACCTCTACCCCCTCACTTCCCTCAATTGCCGCCTCCGCCAACGCCGTGAAATCCACATCGGCACTCACATCCACCTGCCCCGGCGCCGACAGCGGCGGAACCTTGCGATGATGCTGGATGCCTCGGAGCGAGTTCACAGGGATGGTATTCATAGTCCCGTAGTCCATGATCAGGGCCGCACCAGAGGGGTTGCGCTTCGCCGGTGCGGGCTGTGCAGATGCTGCGCCCCGGGAACTGGTGCGTGGGGGCTGCGAGGCGCCGCCGATGCGACGGGCGAAATCAGATGCGTAGATGCGGCTTTCGGGGCTGATTTCGATGGTCGAGCCTGCTTGGGACTTTAGGGCTCGGTAGCGCGGGGAGATCTCGGGGATGACGAGGGAGGATGGGGTTGAGGCTTTTGCGAGGGTGAGTTTGAATTCGGGTTCGTTGGGGAGGTTCTCGTCGATTGATTTCGGGTTCAGGGTGACCATTAGTTCGCGCCATTGAGGGGTGTTGGCGGGTTTGAGGGGTTTGTGGAGTTTTGTTGGGCCGGTGGGTGTCATTATTGTATCTGCGGATTGCGGGAGTTGGTTTTCTGGGGAAGGGGGGATGGATTCGAAGGCGTGGATGGGGAGGGCGTCGAAGAATTCGTGGGCGATTATGAAGGGCGTTTTGTCTTCTTCTGTGGTGGTTTTTGGGATGTGTTAGTGGGTGGGATTTTTCTTTGGTTGGAGGGGGTGCGAACCGTGTGGGAGGAGTCGGATGTCTTCTACCCAGATTACAGGGACGTTGAAGTATTTGCAGGTGCTTTTGTGTCCGATGTCTGTTTCTTCCATTGTGGCGTCGCCGCAGAGACGTTGTTTTTGGACTTCCCTTAGAGTGGGACTGGCTTCGACTAGGTAGATTGCTTCAATGCTTGAGGTGAAGCTTTTGAAGTTCCTGAATGTCTGTGATATGACACCAGTGGTCAGTATGCGGTTGAATGCCTCCCCTTCTCTTTTCTAGAGAGGGAAGAGAGGATGAGGTAGACTTACACGCAACATGTCATCCATCAACGTTCCCTTACCAGGACCAACCTCCATCAACTGCACCCCACTACTCTTTCGTCCCTGCGCCATCCATTCCGCGATCGTCCATATTCCGACTAATTCGCCGAACACCTGCGAAATCTCAGGCGAGGTGACAAAGTCGCCTTTCTTGCCGAATACCTCTCCGTCGCCTGCGGGTCTGGTCGTGTAGTAGCCGCCTTCCGGGGAGGTGAGGACCTGGCGCATGAATGCTGCGATGGGGATGGGTCCTGTTACCTGGGGCGAGCGTTAGCTGGTTTCTGATGGGTCCTTGGGATTGGTTGGGAGCGGAATACTTTAATAGCATCCGCAAGTGTGCGCGCCAGTGGCGTAGACCATTGTCGGGTTTCATAAGTTGAGGACCATCGCTGTGATGATTTTAAGACGAGTGACCGTTTGGGATGGTTCCTGATCAATTGCGTCAGGGCGCGCCGGGCTCCATGGTTCATTTTGGGGCACCGAGCCTTTGAGGCCGTAGATTTTGGGTTAACAGGAGGGAGAGTATTAGTTTGGAATTATTAAAGGTTGTACTGGAAGTATGGCTGAAGTATATTGTTTGTTCTCCAAATCTTCTCCGCAAAAGTTCCGATGCACGTGATCGGTCTTATCATATCATATCTGTTTCGCCCAAAAACAAAAAAAAAAAAAAGAGTACGATTGACTATCATTACATCCCGATGTTTTGAATGAAGTAATATAATCGGAAGTGTCCAAACCCGGAAGTTCAATTGATATTCTTACATATGGCGGTTATTTAAGATCCGAAGATTGAAATGCTGTTATCGAGACACTCGACTGTAGTCTACCGCTGCCGCCGGCCCCGGTTATTTCTCGGATTCCGTGGCGGCGCATCGACCATCATTTGATCGCTGTAGAGACCCTGTTCGTTTGATTGTTGAGCTTGGTTCATGTTGTTACCCGCGTTTCGATTTCCTCGGAAGTTGCGCCTATTATTGCGGTTCCCGGAGGCATCCTCGCGACCAGTTGCTTGGTTCTGTCCACCGAACCCAAAGCTTCCGTCTTGAACAGTAGAATCCGCTCCACGATGTAACATGCGTTTACGGTTTTCTTGTTCCCGAAGGTCGTTGAAAGAGTTCTGGGCGCCCGCAGAACGCTCGAATAGATCCTGGCCCTGGGACCCGGCGCCGGCTGATTTCAGACGCATCGACAGGATTCTGCCATCCGCCTATATTATGTATTAGTGACGCTGAATGAACCACCGTATCCGCGTAGCAAACTAACCCTCTGGTTGTGGAAATTGGCAATCGCGCTCTCCGCTGCCCATTTCTCTGCAAATGTCACCTCCGCAGTAACCGTAGGATGCTGCGAGGTAACCCAACAACGCAAGATATTTCCCGTCACAGGCTCCAAAGCCGATTGAATATCTGCAGCGGTAGTGCCCGGTGCGAAATTGCTTCCAACAACGACAAATGGTCCCGACCCTGTGCCCTTGATGGAAAGGCCGACAGGGCCATCACGAACGGTTGCTTGTCCACTCGCGGGGTTCAAAGCAGACATCAAGCGATCTTCATCGGGGCGACGCTTCTTTCCGGGTTTCGCGTTCGAAGCGGTGACTCGTGCTGGTGCTGACGGCGTCCGGGTGGCCTTTTTAGGCTTGGAGGGAACAGGTGCAGAACGCTAGGTAATAACGCATTGAAATCAGTTCTCTCTGTCGGAGGATGGCGCAATAGTTCGTAGTTATCGTTTACCTTGGCTACGCCAATTCGACTTGCCAGACTCCCCTGTGTCGCATGTTGCGCCTTGTTACCGGCGCCCGGAGCGCTCGCCCTTCTGTTCTTTCCCAGGATGCTATTGGCTAGTTCCTCATTCTTTCTCTTTTGTCGATCTTAAAAGAGAGAGGCAATAATTAATAAGTCAATAAAATCAGAAGGAACAGCTTTGGACGACTGGAAGTTTACCAGCTTTAATGATCTCATTGAAGGAGACTGCTTGCTGGCCGGCGGCCATGATGACGGAAGGGACAGAACGCCGGTAGCTCGTCAGGCGATTAAGCGGATGGATACTGTAGAGGAAAGGAGTCAAAGAAAAGGTGTAACCAGAATGCTAAAATGTCGAAAGGTAGGCCAGCAAACTGCCGGGGTCCGAAATTAATCGAGTGGTTGTAAGAAGGATGAGGCTGACCGAAGGATAGAAAAAGGTTGTATCGAAGCTTTTGCGACGGACGTCGGTATTGTATTGTATTGGAAGCTTACTTCAACACAACAACAACAACAGTCACAACACCAGCCGAAACCCTTGGATAGCCACATCACTTGAATTAAGCACTAGATGATAGGAAACCAAATTCGTGATGCCCCGCTACCTTTCCAGCCCAAAGTCTCTGATTAAGAAGTAGATGATCGAGTTTTGATAGTCACATCTGGCGGAAACCTCGCAATGCAACAACCACAATATAGTATCCACCATCAGTGCTATCACAATGCGCCAAAGAGCAAACATTGACTTGAAGGCCTAACGCATCCCACTGATTGCACCTGCTGGCAGTGACGTCCAGTAAATGGATCCTTGCCTGTCCAACCCTACTGGACTTAGTACTACAAGTACTAATACTAGCAGTATTGCCACACCCAATGTCCAATCAACAATGCATGTGGCTGTCTCGTACCTGCCTTGATTGGAATCAAGGACCGCGACCCCTACTTCTTACAGCTGGTGGCCTGTTCAATTCCTGAAGAGGTTTTTCATGTCACAAGGGCCAGTCTACTCCAATCCCTAGGTGGCTAATACTTGGGACTCTTGACGCATACCGAGTCTGCTTGTTTCAATTGACTATAACATACTTCATGAAAATCAACTCGCCTGATATGGCAACAGACAATCAGGGTTGCGGAGCAAACAGACGCCGCCAGGTATTCTCATTTTCAGGCACTCTTCGCCCCTCAATAGCAAGAAGAGCCAGGTACACTAGCTGATTCCTTTGTGCGCAATGCGAATCTGATGGCATGCTAGGATTGTAAGACCTCCTGCTCCTCCACCATCGTGCGAGGAAAGTGTCCATTATCCGGTCTTCAACCCTCTTGATCCTCGACATAACCCCGCCGTTGTTACACCTTCATGGAATAGGGGCGGCTATTATACCTCTCGAAATACCAACCTCGAAAGCCCTGTAAGCTGGGTACAGACTTTGTCCAAAAGGTCGCTTCGGAGAGCACGCTCAGGACTTATAGCTCTGAGAATGGGAATGCAGAGGCGGGCTTCTATCTTCGGTACAAATCGCACCGCTAATATACCTCGGGCTTGGCCTTCATCTGATGCCACAGAGGGTTCCTCGGACCAGCAGGATGACGCCTCCTTCCCATCAACAATTTCTGAAGCCAGCACAGAGGAAGACTCTGATTTTGGAACTCATCTACATCGAACAGAGTGCAACGACGCTTCTTCACTGAGTTTTAATGTGGATACATGCTTGGACAACTGGCCATTCTCTGTCACGATTACTGATCTCAACCCCTTCCAGGAACTGACTGAAGGATATTGGCCGCCTGGCCTCTTTCTAACCGAGGCGGCACATAGTATCTTTCCGAGGGACTCGAATGAGGGAAATAATGGCTTGGGATTGCAGATTGCGAGGGAATTGACTACTGGGGACTATATCCAATTGGACGACTTTTTCATGAACGAGTCGGATTCTGAATCAGGGGACTCACTTCCCAGGCTCAGCAGTTCAACCAAGAGCCTCCCTGAACCTGGCTGTTCTCAAATAACAGGTGCCGAGGCCGAGCCCTCGCATTTAACCATCTTGACACCATTGTCCAACAACCTACTAGCACCAGTCTCCCTTCGAGGCCCAAGTATCAATGGGAACACCTCTCAGACCATGTCCCCTTTACCTTCCCTCAGCTTGCCTAGAACCCCATCATCAGATGGACAGCCACCTGGCCGATTCTATGCATCCAGGACTCCTCAGGTGTCTAACGCTGCGTTGGTAGTGGAGTCCCGTGGACTGATCGACCGAGTTAGCGCCTACGGCGATAGTAGTATGAGTAGGATGGAAAGCGAGGTTGAAGATCAAGTCCTAGGACCAGCCATTCACCATGAGTCTTCCCCAGACCTACAAGCAGAGCCTAGCCGGTCAGATTGTCAATCGACCAAAGAAGAAGCCCAGACACAAGATATCTCCGAATCCGGGACAAATGACAACCTATCAAACGACCCTGTTTGCGCGGCGCCAACTTCAAGCTTGGGTCGAGCAGATGCGACATCTGAAATGCACAACGATGACGATCATCATTCTCCGTCGCGTCCATCAGGCGACACAGGTGGGTTGGGGTGTAGCGACTTCACAGGGGAACAAACACCATGGTCAGCCCGCCCCAGCGAAGAGGTTACGGTAACAGACCTCACGTCTGTGTCGAATAATCTATGGACACCTATCGAAAATGGCGATCTTGCATCATTGCTATCCTTCACAGATGAATACTTTTTCGTTGATGGCAAAACCAGTGGTCACCCGGATGGGGGAGATAATCCTACAAAGGCAGAACTGAGCATCATCGGCGACGGAAGCTTGTATAATGAACTAGGACACGATCGTAGCCCGTCAGCGGGAACGCTGGATGTTCCAGAGATAATTGGTCCCGGGAGACCTGTCCATATTCAACCCCCTCGGCCATATCGAGTAGAGCGAGATGCCAGTGAGGACTCCGTCGATGAATATCTTCTTACGTATCCAATGTATCAACGACGCTATTTCCCTTGATGCTTGACGGCCTCAACCGTTCATCTACCGTTCTGACTGCGTACAATCGTTCAGTGGTAATTTGTGTACGAAAGCATATGCTGTACGGCCATTGGAATATGTATAAACTGCATTGTTAAGGGGATTCATATACTTATTTTCCAGCCCAGCGTTTTATAGTTTGGCTTTGGGGCGTCTCTCAAAGTTACCACTCCTTTACGACCCAGTCTTGTTGGTATAGCCACCATTTCCGATTAGAGATTTGGATATTGTGGGATCGGAGGATTCCACAAGCCAACGAAGGACTTCATATTATATGAATACTCAAACTCCCGTGAGTTCGTTATGTGCGCAGGTCGGGTAGTAATCATCCCAAGCGTAGAGTAAAACCTGCCCCAGTTTCCCCACTGTCACTACTTGACTGGCCGCCAAATACACTGGCAAAGTCCAGTCTGGGAACCTCCTGGCCTCGCTTTGGCGCTTCGGGCGTCTGCCGTCGCCTCCGTTTCTCCATTCCTGCCTTCGACGGGAACGTAGGAAACATCTCCTTTGGCTTTGGACGAGGGTCTTCACGGAAATACGGATGCGAAAGACATTCCTGTGTCGTCGGTCGCGAGCTTGGATTCAAGGCCAGGAGCGAAGAAAGCAGCTGGATACCGGCATTTGTCAAAAAGGGAAACTTTGAACGTGGCAGAAGCGGTGGGTTTCCAGATGGAGCTGAAGTCTGTGGAAGACGGAGAGACTTCGCATTGGGAAGAGAACGGAAGCCAGGCCATGTCTGTGGTGTCGGGGGGCCAGTCAAAGCAAAGATCTAATTTCCATCAGTACGAGTTTAACGAAATCTACCGCCACGGAGATGTAGGGAAATGAAGTATAACCCGTACCTTAGACACCTGATCAACCTCATTCTTTCCCTGCAGCAGGGGCTCCTTCGTGAGCAATTCCCCGAAGATGCACCCGATACTCCACATATCAATTTCAGTGCCGTACTTCTCCGCTCCCAGCAACAGCTCCGGGGATCGATACCAGAGCGTCACGACCAGCTGCGTCAACTTCGGTGGCGGATCGCCGTAGTACCGGGCCATACCGAAATCGGCAATCTTGATTTCGCCCCGGTTGTTCATTAAAAGGTTTGAGGTCTTCAGATCACGGTGCATGATCCATTGGGAGTGGAGGAAGTCGAGACCCGAGAGGACCTGGGAGAGGAGAGTTTTGATTTCCGATGGGAGGAATGGCTCACGCATGTCGTCGAGGAGCGTCTTCAGGTCGTGTTCGAGAAAGTCCATGACTAGGAAAACACTGTTTTATGCGGTGATCGGGGGCAGGAGGGTTTATCCTCGCACCCCCGGGCTTTGGGGTTAATTTTCTGTATCTGAACTTTCCAGGTCCTGAGGGGATAGGGAGTGCCAAGGGGTGAATTGGTCTTGATACAGAGGGGAGGGAAACGCACTCATCCATTTTAGTTCCGATGACGACTTCACGGAGAAAGACGATATTTGGATGACGAGCTTCCAGGAGGGTTTGAATCTCCCGTAAGCCCGTTACGGGGAACCCATCCGGGGAGTTGTCCATCTTGAGCTTTTTGAGGGCGACTATTTCACCCGTTGTGATATCCTTGGCTCTACTCACCCATCCGTACGAGCCCTCCTCTATGTGATTCAATCGCTCAAAGTTGTCCACATGCCGACTGGGACCCCATTCCTGGGTGGGGAACTGTAGTATATTCGATAGGTTTTCTTGTGGTTTGGATGGTTCAACCTGGACGTCGGTCGTGGTGTCGGGATCATTGGAGAGTCGGCGACGTTTCTTGGGAGGTGCTTCTGTGTCATTGTTTGCGGCTTCACGTTGTCGGGCAGCTTCTTCGGCTTGTTGCTGCTCGAGCTGACGTTGTTTCTCGGCTTTGGCGCGTCGTTTCTCTTCCTTTTCGCGTTTGCGTTGCGCAATGATCGCTTCGGCTTCTGGGTCTTCATCCGCCCAGCGGGATTTGGAGGACATCTTTCTGCAGTTGGAGGGGGTGATTAAGATTATTAATTCGATATTGGAGTGTGATGGAAGCTCCGGAGTCGGGAAGCTTCCATGTGGAGGTTGGTTTCGGACTTGCGTGCCTGAGGTTCTCGGAAACGGTAATTTAATTGGAGGGATGACGCTATCAGCATTTGGATGCCGATTTCAAATCCCCCGCTTTGTTCCGCGGGGCTTCTACTATTTTTTTTTCTTTCTACACGGTTATTTATTGTTCTCTGTGACCCAACGACTGTTACGATTTTTATATACCTGATTCCACCTTGCTATATTCTTTGCGCGGCGAGCGATTCACGTCCCAAACGTACACCATGATTGAACCCTTCCAGGTCAGTTTGTTCCGCTCTGTACCGTGGGTAGCAAGTATATTATAAATCGGGGCTAAATGTTCAATCAGACCACCTTCGCGGTCCCAATGACCTGCCAGGGCTGTGTGAAAGATATCTCCAGTACCCTAAACAAGCTCGACGGTATATATTTGCCTCGTCTCATAGATTGTCTGTTGGTCCGGGCTAATTGGTTGGCGACGTTTCCCAGGAATCAACAAAGTCGATGCCAGTCTGAAAGACCAGCTCGTATTTATCGAAGGCACGGCGCCACCCAGTTCCATCGTTTCCGCGATTCAGGCTACGGGTCGTGATGCGATTCTACGGGGTAGTGGGACCTCCAACAGTACGTCTCTCCCTGCTCATCCTTGTTTCATTTACCGCCGGGCATGTGCCTGGTCCTTGGGGCTGTGCTAAGATTCACTCACCAGGTTCCGCCGTTTGCATTCTGGAGACGCATGCGAATTCGGTCCCGAATAAGATCCGTGGATTGGCGCGTATGGTGCAGGTCTCGTCCAACATGACGCTTGTAGATCTGACCATTAACGGGCTGGCGCCGGGCAAATACTGGGCCACAGTGCGCGAGGCCGGAGATATTTCACAGGGAGCCGCGTCTACCGGAGGCATCTGGGAGGCATTGAAGGCTACGGTGTTGGGATCGGAGGCGTCCAAGGAGCCACGCGGAGTGTTTGGGACGGTGGATGTGGACGAGAAGGGACGAGGCAATGTCTTCTTGGACCGACCATTGGCGGTTTGGGAAATGATTGGACGGAGTATGGTGGTGTCGAAGAGCAAAGAGGGTCCATTCCGAAAGGAAGACCCGGATACATTGGTTGGGGTGATTGCTCGAAGTGCGGGCGTGTGGGATAATGATAAGATGGTGTGTTCCTGCTCCGGGAAGAATGTGTGGCAGGAGCGTCAGGAACAGGTATCTCAGGGGATGGTTTAAGTTTTATTCTTTTCTTTTTTTTTTCTCCTTCTATTTTTTGAGCATCTATTTGATGCCCCCTTTGGCCCCATTCACACATTGACTCTGTGACTGGAGAGGCGGGAGCTGCCTTGACTTTTCTTATATTTTTTTAAAGTTGTGATACCTACTTGTCGTGAGATGATGTCAGTCATGTGTCGTATGTGAATGAATCTGCATGAGGCTAGACGTGATGCTGTTGGGACCTAAATTGTTAGACGAGCGGGCAGGATTGTGATTCCATTAAATCCATCGATCAGTGCGCTGGAAGTGGAACTATAGATAGACGGTGAAGGAGGAGAAAAGACACCTAGGGTATCAACTCACCACCTGATCATAGTAAGTAGTAAGTAGCGGAAAATCGTGGGTCCAAAAAGGAAAGGGCTAAGGTAAATTCCACGACGGAAACCCCGCTATTGGATGTAAGGATATAAAATTGCAACGGTCGCGAAGCATCATTGGATCCTGCCACGCGTGATTTTCTAAATAAATTTCCTGCGTTAAATCAATACTCAGCAAGGAATTCTAGGGGAAATTGTGCTAGTTGACGGAAATTGATTGATAGAAAGTGAGGGATTGAGTCGAAGCGCCGTGGCGGGGCGACAAAGTATATTCTTGCCAATCTCATATCAGGTTTCCCCGGAGTATTTCTCATTCGTTTGCGGGACGGCAGTCGCCAAGGGAATTCATTGAGTAACGATCTTATGATCTGGTCGGGCACTAGCACTTCACAAATCTCCCAAGGGATTCTTGTACGTACTGCACCTCGGGAGGGTGTTATTAACTAATGAGAACATTCCCTGTCCCTGTTTTGTTCGTTCTCCGCCATGGCTTGTCGGGACGGCCTGTTAATATATTCAATACTACAGTACGGCTGCTAGTAGTACTATATAGTAAATAGTATGCCAGATCAAGGAATAATAGAAATGAATTAGTCTGAACAAAGTGTGAATATTGTGGTGGCCGCCAATGAGGGAGGTGGATTGAGGGATCTTCCCTGCAATGTGATGAAGTTTCCCCTGCAGGGGACCAATCAGCGACCCGGATCCCAGCTAGGGATCCCAGACGCTGCAGCTGCAGCCATTCAGGTCAACGCTTGCTTAACGCCCCTCGCCAGGAACTTCAACTGGCTGGTCAAATCGAACGGGGGGGTTATTTTTATATTCTCGACTCCCTTGGCAGTCCTTCGTCCTTCCCCTCCTTCCTGCCCTTTGGCGCTTCGAATCGGATCTATTGGTACTCCTAACTATCTAAGTATAGTATCGACCACTTTCAATGCTTTTCCTTGCTGCATACTCTGCACGCTAGTCTTCATATGTGCTCTCTGCCACGGATTTTCCCTGTCCTTGCCCTTTTTTCCCTTTCCCAGCTGGGTGAATCTGCTCTTCTTGACTTCATACATCTTATAGTGGCCACTGTATAGACTCAAGGTTCTCAACTACACATATTACTATCGATAGAAGCCGTGAAGAATATTCACCGGGGTAGGCGAATTGATCTAGCCACCGCATTATCTATCTATCATCCTTGCGTCTGCTTGTCATAGTCACTAGTTGGCCATTCAACGACCCTGGTCACCCGTGATCTAAATATATATCCGATCTATCTCCCCACCAAACCAGACTAACTCGCTGCGTTATCGTACGCTTGGACTATCACTGGTTCCAACGCGGGACAATACTCTCTGGCTCACCGACTGAGAAAGCTCCTAGCACGCTTTTATCCTTTCGTGGCACAAACCGGGTCTCTCGGCCTGCTGGTCCCATCATTATCCCTGCCTCTGCGTGGTTGACTTGCAGTGGTTGGTTTCTTGGCCATTAGTATATATCCGCTGCTACCTGAGCGCATCGCGAGAGTTGTCCGGTCTACTAGTCAGCAACCCGTGGGCTGTGCCTCTGTCTGTGACCCTGTCTACCATCACACCGACCCGGTTGTCAGGTGAGGGAACGACCAGGCCTCAGGAGATTTAGAGAGGTATCAGTAAGCCCTCGGATAGCTGGAGTGATGTCTCTCAAACAGGTATGCACCGCAGTGCTCGGAAAGCGGGCTACAGATGCTCACCAAGACGACCAGGAAATTGAGACGTGGGTGCAAGCCCTCGAACACTATGACCGTCAAGAATACGACGACGCCCTCCGGGTCTTTGACCTGATTGCCGACACGTCTAAGATCTTCTTCAACTGTGGTGTAATCTATGCGACCTTAGGGGAACATGAGAAGGCGGTATGTGCTAAAGTCTGACGCATACTACGCGGTACTGACAACTGTAGGTCGAGTGCTACCAGCGGGCCGTCAGTCTGGACCAATACCTCGCCATTGCATACTTCCAAGAAGGTGTCTCCAACTTTCTTCTGGGCGACTTCGAAGAGGCATTGGCCAACTTCAATGATACCTTACTCTACCTCCGAGGCAATACATCCATTGACTACGAGCAACTGGGTCTGAAGTTCCGTCTATACTCATGTGAAGTTCTGTTTAATCGTGGTCTGTGTTACATATACCTGCAGCAACTAGGGCCTGGGATCCAGGACTTAGAGTATGCGGCAAAGGAGAAGGTCACGCCGGACCATGGTGTTATCGACGATGCCATCCGAGAACGAGCAGAGGTATGTCACAGCCCAAGATTGTTCTCCTATCAGTATTGACTAAATAGGGTTACACGGTGTTTTCAATCCCCGTAGGGGTACTGTATCGACCAAATGAGGCCAAGGTCAAAAACCTCAAGACGAAGGATTACCTCGGCAAGGCACGGTTGATCGCTGCATCGGATCGTAGTGATGTTCCTTTCCAGCCAGGTGACATTATCAGAACCCAGTCCGGACTGGACAATCGAGCCCCCCCAGAAAGTCTCTACGCAGCCAGCAAACTAGTACAACGAAACATCACGAGAAGTCGTCAGCACTCAGAGCCACCCCTGAACCGCAATTTATTCCCCCCAACACCACCACCAGATGCCGACAAAAGCAGCGTCGGAAGCCCCCCTAGTAGTTCGGGGATGAACGGTCGACCGGGCTCCATCCGCGCGGCTCGTCCGCCGCGCCTCGATCTAGACCGCCCGGGCGCCCACCCTCCCGGATGCAGAGTTGATACGACACCAGAGAAGCCACGGGTCGGGACTACGCGCACAGCATCAGAGCCGCGCGGGCCACCCCAGCTGCATCACCGTGCGTCTCAAGGTGAATTCACAGTCTACCGAGAAATGGGGCATCGACGAGGATCAAGTGACACAGGCTTCTCGGCCCCACCGAAGAAGATGTACGGAGAGGATATGTACAACGGGTATCCTCGTCCGACTGTGGCTGTCAATGGAGGTCGGAGGGGCATGCCCCGTCAGCGGGAGCGGTACATTGATGAAGAAGAAGAATATGCCAGCGAAGCAGAGGAAGGCGGAGCAGACGGTGACTTCGAAATTGTCGAATCAAAACGTCGAACACGATCACCAAACCGAGGGTCAAGACGAGCCAACTCGCGCCGGCCGGAGGTACGCAGGTTCCGGGTCAAGGTACATGCCGTGGAAGACACTAGGTACATTATTATCGGACCGACAACCGGCTTTAGCGAGTTCGAAATGAAGATCCGGGATAAGTTTGGCTTCCGCTCTCTGTTGAAGATTCGGATGCAGGATGAAGGGGATATGATCACAATGGTGGACCAAGAAGATTTGGATCTTCTGTTTAGTTCTGCCCGTGAAAGTGCAATAAGGGAAGGGAGTGAAATGGGGAAGATGGAGGTATGTCTTTATCCTTATAAGTCCCCGTACCTTAACTGACCATAGCAGATATGGGTTGAAGAACGATCTATGATTTGATGACCTGGTGTTGGCGTTGGCTGGTCGCATTGGACTGCATGGCATGTTATACCCTTCGATGACGCATGTATATACACGATTATGATAATGCATTCTTGTACAAACCCTTGTGACTGGTAACTACCTTTATCTAATAAGGGCAACAATAAGTAAGGAGTACACACAGAGAAGATGACAAGTATATAGCCTGACCGCAAGTGAGCCAATAAGTTCATTAACTTCAGTTACTATAAGAAGTCTACAGCGTTAGAGGGAAAAAAAAAAAAAAAAGAACAAGACAACTGGAGGGAATCCACTAGTTTAAACCACATAAGCACTAGAATTCCACTAGGAAATACGCATATTGCTGTCCAGACATGTGATTCAATAGAAACTTAACGGACATTCTATCATATCAAATTCAAGCTAAGCTACCCAACGCCAACTTTGACTACCTCTCCATACTAAAGCAGAATGCGAACAAGACACCAAATACTAGTCTTAAACTTCGACACGCATTCCATAGAATGCATACCCGGTATTTGTTTATCGCGCTGTGTGAAGTCTCAGTTCTGCTACAAGGAGAGTTAGGGTCTCAAGTGTGGGGGCAGCTGGGAATCTATATCCGGGATCCAACTCGTGACAAGTCGATGTCTTGGCTGTGTCTCGCCGTCCCAGAATTCTGCACTAGCTTCTTTCTTCAGAATGGGACGTGACAGTCCTGATTCCAAAGGACTCACACGTCTCATTGCTTGTCAGACAATGTTTGACCTATGTTTCCATGTGCGGCTATTTATCGTCCAAAACGTCTCTCTCTGGCATACCACTAAACGCGAAAGCGATTCTTAGCTACGAAGAAGGGAGGAAAAGGGCGCATTCTCTTTAGCCATCTGACAGTGAAACAGTCCCTATATACAGCCGCACGCGTTGTCTTAGGACTCAACATAGAAGTCATGGCAACTTTCATAAGTTTGCTTGTTCCCGCTGGCATACCAATACCACTGTATCACGCAATCGCCGGCCTGGCTACACGTGGAACCGAGAGAGTCTGGAATGGTCACGTTGTAGTCAACTATCCCGATAGACGCAGGGCAGACAGGTTAGAAGAGATTTGGTCCGTGGGGGCAAATTAGTACATACTATCGTCACGGGGTGGGCCCGAGAGATGGTCTGGCCAGTTATCCCATGAGCGGAGCGGCTCGCCGATGATCTCGTTTGTGGCCGTGTTAACGACCGATACGTTCTTCCTTGCGTATAAGCTATTGAACTTTAGAAACTGGGGAAAAAAACGGGAGCTTACAGCATAACCGGGATGGTGACCGGCAATCAAGTTGATGTGGAAGTAGAGAACTTCGCCAGCCTTAAGAACTTGGACATTATCGGTATTATCTTCGAACTGATATCCTCTGCAAAGGAAGGCATTGCACTTGTAGTCGGCGTCGGTTTCCTGCACAGCGTTCTCTATAGGGCCGGCAATGTCTGATGCTTGCTTTGTCACCATTCCCTTTCTATAGAAGATCTGGAATATACTAACCACTCTCGAGGACGTCCACGACTGCTGAACCGCACGCGGCTTCGTGAGCTGGACCCGTCTATTGGATATATTTTTAGCATGTCTTATGAAATAAAGATGGTGGAATTACGTACTTTGCGAGGAGGGGGATCCTCCACAACGGCATGCCCCCAGACGCCTGATATAACAGCGAGCAGGGCAAGTTTAGTTACGGGGAAAATCATCGCCAGGTCAGCTCTAATTGGTTGAACCAGATCGATATAACTGTCTTATGCCTTTACGAGAGAAGTGGTGCTATAAACCTTCTGGCCTCCATACTTATACGGCTCGTAATTACGAGGGTGGTGTGGGAGACACCAAATTGTAACGCTAAGACTGGTGAAACAACATTTCGTGGATGAAATGTAACTATACATTTCTTCCATAAAGTAATGTTTACCCGCGAATCACATCACGCATGATATATACCACTTGTCCTCGCAGCTGATTGAGAATCCATTCACTCTTGGGGACTTGAAGTCGAAGAAGGCAGGTGATCAGGCATATTACTACAAATCCCATAGAATGAAGGCATGCTTCTAACCCGTGACACAACCAGTGACCAATTTAATCCCTGCTTCTATAAAGTGCTAATATTGATAATTTTGGCTTCGTTAAGTTACTTCAACTTTCGTTATTGCAATTTCTAGCAGTTGCTCATTGCAGGATTTGCATGAAACACTCCGGAGATGTGTTTTTGCTCCAACGGCGTCGTCCTCCTCATCCCGGAAGCACGGCCCGCGCCGGCGGAGATGTCAACCAAATAGACCACTGGACCCTACTATGATATGTTTGGTACATGTGCTGATCATCTGCTCTCGCTCAATGTTTTAATATATAGCTCTCAATTTGAATTGCTTTTCAAAGTTCTCAGGCTGCGCTCCGTGGTCAATTCGGAAATTGAAATTGAAATGCCGTGATCGTCATTGCTAGCTTCCTGCCATTGGAGGGGAAATAGGGTATGGATTGCTTGGCTTAAGGGAGCATTCGCACGGTTTGTGTATGGAGGCAGGCTCATGAAGGGAATTGGGTCTTTACGAAATATGAAGAAAAACGTCAAAATATTGTCCAAGTTTGGATATAAAAGGTATGTGGTGTTGCAGCCGATGAGAGCATTTTCTTCTAACAATTCACTGTTCCCAAGAGCTGGAGATAGCTTCATTTGACTTTGGTTCCTTGCTTAACTCTCGCCACTAGTGAGCTTTTATTATTTTCTATCGGCCAAGATGCGGTTTACTGCCCTCTTGACGCTGGCAACCATTGCCATTGCCTCTCCTACACACAACCTGAACAGCCGCAACGAGCTGTCACGTCGCCAGGCTACAGAGGGCTGCTCCATCGGGTACTGCACACAGAACGGCGGCACCACCGGTGGTGCTGCTGGTGAGACCGTCACCGTCACCGACCTCGCTAGCTTGACCGAGGCCGCCGAAAGCGAGACTCCATTGACGATTATCGTCTCTGGTGCCATCGAAGGCAGTGCCAAGATCCGTGTTGCTTCGGACAAAACCATCTACGGTGAATCTGGCAGTTGTGCGTATTCTCCTTGAAACTTCATTCCGCGTGAGTTTCTATTAACGATCCTTACAGCCATAACCGGCGTCGGATTCTACATCCGTCGGGTCAGCAATGTCATCATGCGTAACCTCAAGATCGGCCAGGTTCTTGCCGACAATGGCGACGCTATTGGCATTGACGGGTCTACCAACGTGTGGGTTGACCACTGCGATCTCTCGGGAGATCTGAGCGCTGGAAAGGACGACTTGGATGGTCTTCTGGACATCACTCACGCTTCTGAATGGGTTACTGTTTCCAACACCTACCTTCACGACCACGTAAGTCTTGGTTCATGCTAAGGGCTGGATAATCTATTAACGGTTCGTTCAGTGGAAAGCCTCCCTGGTTGGACACTCCGACAGCAACGAGGATGAGGACTCGGGTCATCTCCATATCACCTATGCCAACAATCACTGGTATAACCTCAACAGTCGTGCCCCGTCGGTCCGCTTTGGCACCGTCCACCTTATCAACAACTACTGGGACAGCCTTCTCGGCACGGGCGTCAACTGCCGCATGGATGCTCAGGTCCTGATTCAGAGCTCCGCATTCTCGAACTGCCCGGATGAAGCGATCTTCTTCGCTGACTCCGACTACACTGGCTACGCGGTCGTCGATGATGTCGACTTGGGTGGATCTACCAACTCCGTTCCCGAGGGCACACTGACTGCTTCGTCTCTGCCATACGACGCCATTGAAGCGCTTGGCTCCGCCCAGATCGCCGCCACCATCCCTGGAACCGCAGGCCAGAAGTTGTAACTTCGCACCCTGTCTGCCGCACTATGGGAAACCCTCACAGCCTGAGTAACCTGATCTTTTGTTTTCTCTTCGCGAAACGCTTAGCAGTGCTTCATTGTACGTCGCTGAAGCCATCTCAGTGCTTGTATTGAATCGAATCATATTATATTACATTCTGTGGGTTCGAGTAGAAAAGTAGTTTAAATAACAATTCGCCATGTGCTGTGACTTTGGTACCAGTACTGTGATACTATCCACTTGGATGGTTGATACTTTCAATGGTACTGTTTATCACAACACTAAGCTGTAGAAAGCATCATGAATGTTTCGAAGGGTGACATAGACGAACTCCATGTCCTCCCGAGTATGACCCCTATAGACTTCAGACTTAGCTGGCCGTACTGTACGCCTGAAAATCTCGGACCTTGGCCCTAGGATAGGATAAGACTAAAAGTCTTACCATTCGCAGCACAATGCGTTCCATATGCTTTCATCGCCTCGAGTGATGCGGCAGCACCGAGGGGTTCATGAGAGAGTTCGGCTTTATGGGGTGATTGAGTGACTTGGTCATAGGCATCTGCCTGGTCAGAGTTATCTAAACGCGGCCAGTGTTTGCGATCAAAAGTAATGTCAAAGAAGGATATATGATACCGCTAAACCAGCCCATGATTTGTTGGTGTTGTTGAGAGGACCTTGCTTGCTGTTGTTGCTATTAAACGAGCTAGGGCTCAATGTTTAGCATAAACTGGTATCATCTTTGCTTTTTCGGGTATCGTGTTATGATGATCGGATTAGCACGGCACCAGAAACACGAAATGGCTCCCCATAAGTTCTAATTCCAACTTGAACCGCGCGTTTGCTGGTTGTGTTAGGGTTGCTACCGAGTTTCGGGATAGCGTTGTATATAACTAGGAGCTTCTTTTTATGCTCTTTTATGCTGTAATAACACCATTTTTTCGAACGTCAACATGAAACCTTAGCTATGCACAAACTAAGACAAGACATTATTCTCAGGTTAGACCATGGATTCTTGAATAATATTCCTGGCACGAAATTGCAGCGATGGACCCTCTCGCGCGGCCCCAACCCATGCTCGCAACTTAACCTGAGGACTCTGATCCATTGGCACCGAGCTGCAACAGCCCGGATCATCCTGACAATGATTTGGCGGCAATCGAATATCGTACAAGAATAAGACTCGAGCGATTGTAAGAGTGAGCTCGGCCCACGCCAAGTTCTTAGCCAGGCACGACCGTGGACCGATGCTGAAAGGGCAAAATGCTGCCTGCGCTTTGTGAAGGTCATCCTTTGTGGTTTGGTCCTCTATCCATCGTTCCGGTTCATATTTGAATGATCTCGGATAATACTCCTCATCATGATGGATGGAGTATATCGGTGTTCCGACTATAGTTCCTTCTGGTAAATAATATCTATCCACGGTAATTCCTCCATCTAACACACGGCGAGGTGGTATATTTGACACTGACGGTGACATACGCATAGACTCGGATATGCACGCATATAGATAATAACAAGATTTTAACTGACTGCCCAGGCGAATGTCTTCCACCTGTCTAAAACACGAACGGATCTCCATTGTAGCTTTTTGCAGAGCCTGTTGGTTATGTGCGAGGTGAAACAGGACGGAGCTCAGGTTGGCAGCAACACTATCCGACCCTATATTATTCAGTCAGACCAGGAAACTCTGGGTGAATCTTAAACTAAAAGAGTAATATACCTGCAAGCAACAAGAGCACTGATTCATTCCACAACTCCTTATTTGTAAAGCCTTGGCCAGTTTTTGGATCTACTGCATTCAGCATATAGTGGAAACAATCTTTTGTAGAAACATTGTTCCCTAGGCGGGCTCTCTCTCTCCCCTGGTGCCGAACCCAAGCACAAAAATCCCTTATTCTGCTGAAAAAGCTGGCTAGTAATAAGTGATCGATCTTGGATCGCATTATTTGCGGTTGAGCCATGCACTGTATGGTGTATATTAGTAATCATAGGCAAGACATCGCGCTCTTGTTGTCGACATAGAGCTTACCGTTGCAGCCCGGCGACTTAGCGTTTTGGTCAACTTTGGTACATAGCGATATCTACCATCTCCTAGCATGTTAAAGCTTTGCCCATAGCAGAGATCACTGATCACATCAAAGGCAAGGTAGTCACACAATGGTGCGACATCCACACTGGGTCCCCAGACATTGGTAGGAGAAGTACCGAGCATATCACAGAATGGACTGATATGGGATAGGATTTTATCCTGGACTCCTTTCAGCGCATTCTCTGTAAAAGCCTGGAATAGGATCTTCCGCTTGAATGCATGTGTCGTTTTGTCGACACAACTGAATGTGTTTAGATTCTGGTTGCTAAGACTCATTACCACATAAGAGTCAGCCTTGCAGACGTTGGCCTTCGTAGAATATATATCTACCAGGCTTTTCTGTGAACATATAGATATTGCATTGGGGCCGTATCTAACAATATTTCCTACATTCTTATTTTAGCATAACTTGAAATGATAACCGGAAGTGACAAGCTCACCATAGTTCTGATGTACCACATATAGTTTGGTATGTGCAGAACCGTCCCACATGTACCAGGCGGCGTACCAATCAGTTATCTTTCCTAGTGATGGCCCCGGGAATTTAGCCAATGGGTGGAAATATAACCGATACACGATCAATGACAGAAGCTAGATATCAATTACTGCACGTTAACTAGACGGAGATAGCATTGGGGATATAGATGGGAGGTACGGACGTAGATGAGGGCTAAAAGACCAATACACAAGATCACAATCATTATGGTATCGATAGCCAAAGAATCTAGATCACGAGGTAATGGACTTTGTATACACAATTTAGCATGTGCCAGGTTATGCTACAAAGTGGTTCTCCAGAAAAAGTAAAAGCCCTTGGCAACACAGCTTGTGGAGCCCATTTTGTAGATCTAGGGTTTGGGGTATCGTGCCTCAACACATGGGTGTGGGTTTGAGCTGTCCTCTCAGATGAACTCATCGACTTTAACTGCAGAGCATGTTAGATTGTTCTAGCCCAAGGTAATGGACAACTTGTTGAATCATAGACTCGTTGAGCTTGTTGGAGAAGTATAGATCTTGGTTCCGATATGTCCGGCACTTGTATACTATAATCGAAATAGCCTCTACCGCTTCACATTATTAGGGCTGCGAACGGGTATAGTTACGGGCTGTGGTGATGCTCCCTACCACTTTACCCATGGATACACCCGTGGATGAATTAGCTTATTTTGTTCTTTTTAACCAATAGCGTGAATGGTAAAGTAAAAAAACAGAATAATTAAGATTAAGAGCCATGGATGGGTAAGGCCAAAAAAACGCATGTAGAAGAGGAAAGATGGGTCATCGACCATAGCTTAGCTACATGTGCCGTGATACTATGAGGGCTGGAGTAGTCGTTGGTCAGAAATATTCGCAAAGATAGCATGAAAACTACAGTAACATGTTTCTCGGGCCTCAATCCATGGCGCTCTCCCACCACCGGAAGTCTCATCTCTACATCCGTGCCACCTAAACTTGTTCTAGCTCCTGCAAGAATATTTCTTTGGGGTTTATTTAAGCTTTATTATATCCCAATCAGTATGAGAGCACATATATGCTAGAGAATGCTATATTACTACGTACTGCGGCGACTTGCGGGCACAGGAATGAAATCGGCATCAGGTAAGTGAGGTCAACGCACTCGGAATTCTTTATGCCGGCACGCCTGCTTTGACTACCAGGAATGCTGCATTTACCAGACAGCCAACGGTTTGCGCTCTCTGTTTTTGCTTTGTCATTGACATGCCTAACGTCGGCGTTGAGCGCAACTACCGTGAGCAACGCTCTCCCGGCTATTGTTGGCGACCTTGGCGCAAGCGATACCGAAGCATTCTGGGCGGGCACATCGTTCTTACTATGTTCCACTGTTTTCCAACCATCATTTGCTATATTTTCTCATATTTTCGGCAGAAGGCCATTGGTAGGATGCTCCCTCCCCGAAGCTTAGTACAGTGAATCAAATCTAATGCTATCAGTTTGTGTGTGCATTTTTATTCTATATAGTTGGCTCTGCGCTTGCTGCCGGGGCGAGAAATTTTGATGTCTTGCTTGCTGCACGCTCCCTTCAAGGGGCTGGTGGAGGTGGTCTTATCACTCTGAGTGAAATTCTGATTGTCGATCTGGCTCCCCTCAGAGAACGGGGGAAATGGCTCGGGCTAATCAGCCTGATGTGGGCTGTAGGAAGCGTGTCAGGCCCTTTAGTGGGTGGTGCCCTCGCTCATAGAGGTATGCCCTTGAATCCCTGTTTCATATACATCCCCGATATCTACTCACAATCGTGTTCATCCAAGGACGCTGGAGATGGATCTTTGCCCTCAACCTACCTCCAGCTTGCCTGTCACTTGGTGTCATCTATGCGACCGTCAACCATAAATCAGGGCCTAGTGAGTTAAAGCAGGCCATATACCGCGTGGATTGGATAGGTTTTGGTCTGTTTATTCCTTCCATGACCAGCCTTCTGGTCCCTATTTCCTGGGGTGGGGAAACGTTCCCATGGTCGAGTTGGCATACTCTCGTCCCATTGTTCCTGGGAGTGCTTGGCCTCATAATCTTTATAGCTTATGAGATATGGGTTGCGTCCCGGCCGTTTCTACTTCGAAGTATCTTCCGTGATCGGAATGCGAAAGTGATTTACTTCCAGACATTCTTCCATGGTATAGTGGTAAGTTACGAGTCAGCCGTCCAGCTATGATAGGGATTTTCTTTGTCTGACTCAGGTGTGGTTAAGGTGCTCGCAATGTTTTATTATCTCCCACTTTATTATCAAGCTGTCAAGGGATACTCACCGGTGATGTCCGGCGTTGCTCTCCTCCCTGTGATGTGCCCAATGAGTATTTCCGCAGGTCTTGTAGGAGTCGCGATGACGATCAGTGGTCGCTACCGATGGGCACTTTGGACTGGCTGGGCCTTCACTACGACTGGAGTTGGCCTTCTTTACCTTTTGAACGCCGATTGTCCCATCTTTCGATGGGTCCTCATCAGCCTCGTTTGTGGAATCGGCATGGGCTCTCTTTTCACTAGCATGAATCTTGCCGTACAAGCCAACACCGCCGAGAACGAGCAATCCTATGCACTTGGATTCTTCACATTCTTTCGCACCTTGGGTCAAACGATTGGTGTCGCCATCGGAGGGAGCATTTTCCACAATATATTCGAGAAAAATCTCCCTGCCGATCCGGGGATTCTTGCCTTAACCAAGGGTGGCAGAATCGACGCAGAGCCGCTAGTCGAGGTGGAAAAAGCACTACCAGAGAGTGATCCTCGCAAAGCGAAGATTATTCACGCCTATGTGGAGGCCTTAAGAATGATATGGATCGTCCTGTGCGCCTTCTCTGCTGCGTCATTATTGGCCAGCCTCTTTACCAAAGCTTACAGCTTAGGAACAGGTGCGGGCAGGTCTGTTAGCCTAGACACTGAGCACGGCCATCTCGATCCTCCGGATGTCGAGAATGACAAAACGGACTGTGTTCGAGATGCCGAGTCTGGAGAGTCTGGACCGCAGAATGTGGGGCTAGATTCAAGGAAAGAGGACGAACCTTGAGGCTGGGTAAATCCACACTTTGAATGCATAACCTTAAGCCTATGCGAAGCTAAAATCACCCTTTGGCTGAACCTTGAAATCACCTTTCTTAGCACAAGCTCTTGGATACAAGGTTAACGGGATCTACGGGTGAGGCTGCGGAGACGCATCTCCCGAACCAAATCACACTGTTTTCACTTGCTAGTCACTTTAGGACAAGTATGGTAACCAGTCCTCACGTCACTCATAGTGCCAATTATCATAGTAGATTGAGATATCTGCTCTAACTGGCTGAAATACACGTGTGGGGAGCTTTGACAGTCGTGGTTCACTTTTCTGGAACGTGTAGTTGTTGTGGCAATCGAAACGGGGTCGATGAGGTCATCTAGCCCTACCGTGGATGTGGACGTAGTATATTACCTACATTTTCGTGCTGTCATAAATGTAATGATTAATAATAACAACAAAACTAATGACAGGTAAACGTAGTTTCACACAGAAGTGTCTTTGTTCTACGTTCTCGGGGGAAATCAGAGTATCATCACTGGCCACTCCTAGAGAACTGACTGGTGGATGATGCACGGTCTCTTCCTACAATGTGGGAGAGCTTCAACTACAGCACTTTTCAAAATTAAATTTGACTCCTTGACTTTTTTTATTTCTATGTTTGCTTTTGGAGATACCATAATGGCTAGGAATCGAGTACATTATTACTACGTCATTAAGTTTATGGACTACTGGCGTAGAGTTTCAATCAGTTGCCGAACGCATCAACTTTCGTGAGATCTTTCCTCTCTGAGTGAGGCGGTGGAAACCCTTCGCCTCCCCCATGAAGATGCTCCATGGAGTCGTCGTGGATGATTCCATGGAAACCTTTGCGTGATGGTAACATATCACACAGCTGTGCTTTCCTTCGGACTCCAACTGTGTTGTTTTCAGTAGAAGTTGACCAAATCGAATCTCACAATTTCCAGCGTACATCCGGTAGTGTAGGGTATTTGACTGTCCACCTTTTCTACTATTTCCACGTCTTCTTTATTGAGACCAAAGAACAATTCATCCGTGAAGAAAGCCATGGGAATCCATGCGTGGCATTCCAGCTGCGAAGCGGAAAGATGATTATTATAGACGCAAATACCCAGCATGTCCTCTTATACCGACTCAGTAGAGTAAGAGGGTGGTCTTTCGTTGGAATTTCTTTTTCCCTTTTTTTTTTTTTTTTTTTTTTCTTTGGAAAGAGACTGATAGGTAACCAACCACACGGGCAACTTCCTAGAATATTCTATGAGATGGACAGGCAAGATAGTTTGGAGCTTTTCATAGGCCTTTATAATACACCAGTGGCTCTCCCCCGTAGAGCTTTCTACAGTAGCATAACTATATTGCAAGACCACCCGAGCAAATCTGAGGAGGGATTGAGTAGGACAACATCGGCTTCTCATCGAAGTAAATGACGGTAGGTCATATAATCTTGAATTTCTGTAATCCCCCTGATAAGATTCAGTGTTCTGGCGTTGGCTTTCAGCTGACATTGGTGTTAGAACAAGAACAATCATTTCAATTGCCTTCACCTTACTCTCATAGTCCAACAGGCCCGGTCAAAACATAATAGAGACAACAAATCATTTCACGAGATACTTTGCTTGGTGCTCTATAAGGAGCTCCTTAATCTGATGCCTATGATATCCTCCATTCTCTGCTGCTGTCTTGATCATGTCTTCAGAGACTGGGAGGCTCTCTCTCCAGTATCTCAGGAGAAAATCTAAGTTCTGATATCCATATTCTTTATTCCCTGCTGCTGCCTTGGCTACCTCTTCAGAGACTGGAAGACTCTTCCCTCGATACTTAAAGAGAATCTTCATAAGCTGATGGCCATCTAATCCTTCATTACCGGCCGCTGCCCTCATAACCGTTTCTGAGACTGGGAGGCTCCTCCCTCTTCGTTGCAACAGAAGCTCCATGATTTGAGGTCCACCCAATCATCTATTCTCTGCTGCTGCCTTGACTACTTCTTCAGGGATAGGGAGACTCTCACATCGGTATTCCAGGAGTATTTCCATCATATGATGTCCAAAAAATCCTTCATTCCCGGCCGCTTCCCTAACCACCGTTTCTGAGACTGGGAGGCTCCTCTCTCTTTGTTGCAACAGAAGCTCCATAGTTTTATGTGCATCCAGCCCTTCATTCCCAGCTATTGCCTTTATCACTTCATCAGAAATTGGAAGGTTCCACCCTCGGCTTTTAATATGGAGCTCCATAATTCGGTGACCATATCTTTCGTTCTCTGCAGCTGCTTTCAATATCTCCTCACAGATTGGGAGACGTTCTCCTTGGTGTTTTAAAAGGGTCTCTATGGTTTCATGACCATTTGATCTTGCTGCTGCCTCCTTTACCACCTCTTTAGAGATGGAACGACCTTCCCCCTTATACTGCAAAATAACCTCCATTATCAAATGGCCATATAGCGTATTGTTCTTTGCCGCTATCTTGAAGACTCCTTCAGAGAGTGGCATATTTTTTCCTCTGTCGTTGAAGAAGCTCTATGATTTGAAACCTATTGCGTCCTTGGTTGTCTGCTGCTGCCATCATCACTTCGTTAGAGATAGGGATACTTATACCTTGAGAGTGAAGAAGTTCGATTATTTGATACCCATATTTCATATTTCCTGCTGCTGCCTTAAGCACTTTCTCAGTAATAGGGAGACTCTGCCCTCGGTATTGTAAAAGGATCTCTATAGTTTCAGGACCATCAAATCCTCTTTTTTCTGCAGCTGCTTTGACAACTTCTTCAGATATCAGAAGGCGTTCTCCCCGCTGCTGTAAAAGATGCTCCATAATTCTATGGCCATAATATCCGTTCGCTGCGACTGCTTTGACAACCTCTTCGCTAATCGGAATCCCTAGAACCTCCTTGGAGAACAGACATTTTACTGCTCTTTCGGTGTCTTCTGATTGAAGGAGCTCCAGAGCAATGTCATTCAAGACCCTAGCCATGTCGATCAATCGTTGTCGCCTCTCTGGAGGCTCTTCTTGATATTTTGCTTTCGCACTAGCGCACTCTTCTCCGTCCTTTAGTAGGCCTGAGGTATTCTTAGCCAAAGGTATTTTCCAGGTGAGAAGAACATTGTATATTGAATTTCCGCTTGGACCATCTCGTAAAAGATTTTCCAAGTCCAGGCCCTGCAGCTCTTTATTTCGTTCCTGTACCACAGTCGTTGTAATCATTATAAAATGAGTTCTGCGCATTCTAAGAACACTTGGCTTAGAAGCCCCCTCAAGCAGGAAAATGATGTCTCCTTCCTGGATCGGCTTGGCAGAGGGTTGAACTGCCCAATGTTCTTCATAGCCTAGTGAACGTGCAGCACGGAACAAGAAAACCTTCGCAAGCTGCATGCTATTCTTCGAGACTTCCTCGTTAACAGAGACAACCAAACCCAAAATCAATGCTTTACTCTTGATTACTGCAGTGTCTATACCAGGCCAAGTCTCCACCAAGCATTCCCCAGAGAGAATATATTTAATGATGTGCTTGAAGACTTGATACCATGGAATGCTGTAGCTTAGTTCTAGAGCAGGTGCTCTTAGGCTCTCAGCACTTAGGCCTAGCAATGCGTATATTTTGTCATGGTTATTCGAAGACTCGTGAAATCGATACATATCAATCAGTTCGCCTATGGAGCGGCTGCCTTGAGGATCAAAATGCTGCTTGGAACGAAAATTTGCACCTCTGATAAGATGGAGCACTGAATAGATTATCATTGGCAAAGGAAGGTCCAACTCTTCGATGCCATCACAAAAGGCATGTCCATTTATTTGAACAGAACCACACATGATCGAGATACACCGTGCGGCCCCAGCTTCCTGAAGCACCTGCTCTAGTTAGTAATGACTACCATGCTTCGCAAGCCCTCTCTTACCCAGATACGGCGAAACCACTTTCGCTGAAGCAACTTTATGCAGGCATCACTAACTCTTTTCGAGTGCCGACCATCTAAGCATCGCTCATTTTGCGCCTTGTCTTCTGCAAGGGATCGTATATATTCCAACGCTGTATCGCCATCCTCGAAGGCCTCCCCAAGCCAGATGATGACACGATCAGCTTGAGCATAGATTTTTCGCATAAGCGGGATCTGTTTGCTCTTTTCTGCGATATCATCCTGGTTGATACAAATGGCGTCAACCCACAACACTCGGTCAAAATGGTGGTTCCGCAGGTTAACAAGTGCCGCATGGAGGTTGGGGGTGACATAAAAAATATGGTTATTTAGCTCAATCCGGTGAGATTTTATGACATCATCTTCATCATTGGCCCATACATAGGACAATGCTTCGTAAAGGTGCTGCGTACCACCCCTTTCCGATATAACGTAGTCAGACAGCCTACATTTAACTGGGGCGCTATGCTCTGTATGTGGTAAAATGTGGATCATACGAGTAGCACCGGGCTCTAACGGAAGTGGTGGATAAGTAAACAAGGGCATAGTAACAAAAAGGAAGGCTGATGTTCAGGGTATACCCTGAGCGTACACTTCAAGCTCCTTACGCTACAATCAAGGATGAATGAATGTGGACCTTCCTCATGATGAGGTAAAACTGCCACGGAAGGAGTTGAGTTGGTCTAGCTTCACGGCGGGGTAACCCGATCATAGGCCAGTTAGTAAAGTGCAGTACGAGCGATCATGTGCTTAAGCCCAATCAGGCTGAGCAGTACTAAGAAATCTCCCAGCCAGGTACCGCTCCTAACCTGATATAGTTAGTGATGTGTGGTGCCTACTAGTACCTACCTAGATAGTGCTCACACATTCCTCTTCGGGACAACTGCAGAGCAACAGGTGACAGCTAGCGGGGTACTAGAAACGGCTCCCATTGGACCGCGGACTGCCTGTGAGAATTGTACTAACCCCAGTGCGGTATGGGCTGCTACCGGTTTCAGGATAGCGGCTCAAATCGCGGGTTTCTCGCGTCGCGTCGACGCCATTACTAGTACTACAGGTACATCTATACTCCTACTTCAACTTCTTTCACTCACACTACAAAGATGCCTACAGGAACCCTTTCTATACCTCGAAACAAGCGCTGGTCTGCGGTTTCGGGCTCCGCCAACGCCGATGTCGCATATCAAAAGTTCCTGAAAGAAAAACCAAATGTATACGAATATGTGTGCATCTGCAAACGCCCTGGCGCTAATGACGATGATGAAGAAGACGAAGATGTCACCGAAGATGGAGACAACAATGAACCTGAGTGTGACGGGGGTAAAACCTGTCGGTGTTACAAGCCTGCGACCGACTACCCTGATCACCCCTGGATATTTTCTAGAGCTGGATTGGATAAAATGATCACTTATCGTATCATGTTGGATCTGCGAGACCCGGAAGCCTTTTCGATGTACACTTTCAACGACCACTCCGGTTATGGTGCGATTGAAGTCGTACAGAATATGATGCTCGATTTCGAGGAAGCCTCGGGCAAATGGCAGCAGCAGTGGGCCGTGATTGAAGCCCTAGCCTGGCTGCTTAGTGGTGACTTCCTCGCACCTATGGTGATGTAAGCTTATCCATTATCTTAGATTGAGGGTGCGTACTAATTCATCCACTGAATAGGATTGATGATGGGGATCTATTCCGGCAAACTTCACTCCTGCTTGAACAGATGTTCCTCGCCATGCTCGCTGAGCTCCAGAAGGAAGGCCAATTGGAGGCACACTCTGATGTCCACAATATTGGTTTGATAATGGGGTTGATTGCCAGTGAAGCCAACACTTTGCGGTCTGATGGTTTCATTAACATTAAGAAGTCGAAAGCGAAGTCGTATCACGGACAGAATTTCATTCCCTATCTGCTCGCCTATGCCCGCAAAGGCAATATCACCATGCGCGGACCGTCCAATATCGACGAGATAATTGCTGAGGGTGAAGAATTGTCAGAACAGGAGAACGTCGAGCTTCCCACCGCCCCAAAAGACCCCTGGGAATGGGGCACGGCATTCAAGGCATACAAAAGAAACGCAGTTGCCCCCTACGGCGGCCGTCCCAGGACAGCCATCGGTGGTGACCGTCTCGACATCACCACCTATTCTAGTGCAGAGCGGAAAAGAGCAAGTTTCACCACGAAAGATCCGCTTACTGCGGATATGATCAAATCGATCAAGGAAGGGTTGGTCCTTCAACTTGCATAGTCGTTCTCAAGAATGCTGGGCAGATATTCTACTAGCCTTTCGGAATTATCTGATGACTGGCTTTGCTCTAACTGTACCATGCCCTGTGTCTGATCTAGAACTGGAGCTATTCACAGTGGATGGTTATCAAACTTGGATAATAAGATTATGAAAACCATGATAAGAAAATTTCAATCTTCGAGATGCACCCTAATTATGCCCACTTTTTATTTGCTATACAAGCAGCTGTAGCCACGCAACTGAAGATGCCTCATCAGTGTACCTGTAGTTATATTCTATATGTATCCTACTAAGAGTCACAGTAGCTACTAGCTAAGAGCTAGTGGCTTAATAAATCATCTTGACTCTCTTGGTAGTGGGGAAGGAGAATGATTAGGGCTTCCATCAGTGGCCTGTGGGATCGAAACACTATTGAACTATTGAACTCTGTCAGTCTGCATAACGTGTGATATTCCTGATATCCCATCATTTGGTACGAAGTGCAAGCTATCGATCTCCACCTTGGAAGATCGCCAAAATTCAACTTACAGCGGATATTCATTGGCCTGGCTTACTGTGTCCTTCCACATTAGTTTTCGCACGAGCGGATTTGACTTATGCGGAAATTGTAATGAAAAGGCACACGTCATTTATGCGTGTCTCGCAAAAACCTTAAATCTTCCACTGACTTTGGTCGAGATCATTCGCGAGATCGTTTTGGGACGTCACATTATATTTATGCTAGGGCCCCACTAGATAGTTTAAAGATCACCATGCAGTGGCACCAGAAAGGACAGCCTAGTGGTTAGCTTCAACTGGAAATAAACCTAGTCTTGGGGTGTAACTCCACGAACATCTGACTCAACGACAACTATCAGAACCTTGGTTAATATCCATACAGTACCAGCCAAAAATACGAGGAAGAACTACTCATACGATCGCCGGTAGTTGATCAGCGGCCATGATAAAAGGGTCCCTTCCATCTTGATATCAAAAGCCCAATTTTGCCTCGAAGAAACCACTATCTCTCACCCAGATTTGTATTTGTTATTTTTCGACCTTATTACTTAATCACTTATAACTTATAATATAGCTCCATCTTCAATATGCGATTTCCTATCTTTTACATTTTGCCTGCTGTCCTGGCCAGGTCATCCCACCTCCTGCGCGCTAGTATGTATCCCTCCAACGACCTCACCGTCCCCCCGTTGGTGTACATTGTTAGATGAGAGTTTTTCTTATCTACGGGATATGCCCCCCTCGTCTTCTTCTATAATAGTCCCCTCTACCGTAGCTCTATATATGACCAATGCTAACTTCATCGATTGATAAGCCGCGGAATTCGAAGGTGCAATTCAGGGGACTCTAGTCTTGGAGCAGTCCAAAGACACACTTCAGATTGACGGCAAATTGAGCAATATCCCACTTGGAAGCCACGGGATTCATATCCATGAGTTTGGAAAAACCGGCAACGGATGTCTTGACGCGGGTGATCACTGTATGTCTGTCACCGATCTAAACCCCCTGTAATGGCTGCAGTAGAAGAAAAGTAAGAGCCTCCCTGGGATCACTTACTGAATAAATATAACTAGACAATCCAACCAACCAAGACCACGGAGCCCCCGATGATGAAGTGCGCCACGTTGGTGACTTTGGAAATATTGACGTTACCAGTGACCCGTATTTGCTTAGTTTAACGGATCATGTTGCTAAGCTTGATGGTCCATACTCTGTGTTGGATGTAAGTAAAAAGTCTAGATATAGGGACTTATCATCATCCATCCGAGCTAATATGGAGAAAATAGAGAGCAATAGTTATTCACGCGGGTAAGGACGACCTTGGTAGAGGAGGCAACGAAAATTCAAAAAAGAATGGTAATTCAGGGGCCCGCTTGGGTTGCGGTATGTTTCCTGAGGTTTTCTTACCTCTGCACAACTGATTTACAGAGGCTAACATGCTTTATCAGCTGTTATCAAAGCGGTAGACTAGACGCCGCAAATGACACAGTAGAGGCCGCTGCTCTGTCCTCAAGTCAATGTTGGCGTTCGGGTTGAGGAGATGGCATTTGACCATTGGAGTCAGCGTCCACCTAATCCCCCTTATGTTTTGTATAGTGAATTGGCTGGATACAAAACACTCGCGTTGTAATATGCCAATACAACGGAGTAGCGTTTCAGGCTAAGAGACGCCCTTAATGTTGTGTTAGAAAAGCAATAAAGCGGATATTTGGATGAGAAATTGAAGGGTTAGGCCTACTGTACCCATTTCTCGTCCATCAGGTTAAGGAGGGTAGTGAGTGGTGCCTTTATAATCCTCCTTTGTGTTATCCGTCTTATTGAAGTCCGTAAGAAGTTGCTGGGATATAGTTCTATTAATGTGGTGCTTGTTATCTACAGACTGAGGTACTGTATGACTGATTTCCCAAGTTTACTCCCCTTCAGAACCCAGTAGCTAAGAAAATGTTCAAACTTCGCTCACTGCGCAATCACATGATTTTAGGGTTAAGTTCTTACTGAAGGAAAAGCGCCCGTTCGTACCCGGTGAATCTAGACCACTCACTGGTGGAACCATAACTGCTCGGGGGAAACCCTGAGGCCTGGGCCGTTCCTGACAGTGAACCCTCTATGGCTCGTACCATTACTTCGGCTGAAGCCCTTGGAATTCATGGGCCCTATAACCCACCAAAGTACCCCATCCTAAGCTGATTTGCAAGGCCAGACCCTATAGAGTCTATAGCAAAGTCCTAATAGGCATGATACGCAACCTCTTCTGCTCGGGAGCTCTGTTGACTGGAGGTATCTGGGATTTCGGCGCCAGATCACGGCTTTGGCACGGATCAATCGTGTTCAGAACGCCACTTTGAGCAAGTACATCCGCAGCGAAGTCAGACTTCAAGATATTGTTGGTACCTTCGGTGTGGAATATTTGATATTCCATTAGTGAGGGGCTTGCATGATCTTTTCCAGTTGTACACTTGTCACAGGTGTCCTATTATTCATAGCCCCCTAAAGTTCTGAAATCGGGGTAGTCAGCCGGTATCAAGATAGGCAGCATGCTTGCTTACTCCATGCTACTTGTCCCTACCGACGCAAAACACCGGCCTCTCACACGATAGATTGCGATGCAAAAACACTTAGTTGTCTGACCTTCCCACACAGAGAGACGAAACAGGAAAGGCTCTACTCAACGTGGGAACTGTAAAGCGCCACGAGGGGTTCTTTGCAGAGTTTCCCGTGTGTTTTGGCTGGCTGTGTTGGTAATGCACTCAGGGCATCGGTATGGGTATGTTGCAGGCGGAGAGACCTAGATGCAACTCAAAGAGCAGGCCTCTCTAATAGCAATCAAGCTAGCGGCACGCCCGAAGTGTTAAAGATCACAGTGACCTGCGCAATGTCCTACTACACTCGGCGTTATTGCGCGCCTAGTAAAGGGAACTAATCTCCAGCGTTACAGATGGTGACTAGGCGATGTCAGCTTGCAGAGCCAGGGTTGATTGAACGCTCTCCCTTAAACACGAGAGAGTCAGCCCACTTTTAGTCAGGCTTTTTCTTGGTTTTGTTTTCTCACTGACCAGGATTGCTTTGCCTGGGTGGATTGTGGGTACCCAGCCACAGCGTTTGGATGAACACTGTTCGCGAGCCACGTTCCAATTGTTTGTGACCAGGGGTGTATATATTCCCAGGATACATATAGTGTGAACAGGTTGGTTGGCTCATAGTGCATGGTTTATGTTTGAGTAGTCGCTCAGGTGTTGGCTGCTGCAGAGGTCACAGCCTCGCAGCTTGAAGAATAGCCGCCCTCCCTGCACGCACACAACAACAGACGCTCAGCAACATCACCATGGCGGAACCAGAATGCAACTACCTCAAGTACGTTAAGGCCTTGTGTCTCATATTAGCCTTCCACCTTCAGTATCTTTGCTCCATTTCCCGGGTTTCACGGCATTGAAAGTGACACCAATTCCTACGTTCTTTTTCCTACTATCAATCACCCATACCAACATGGATCCCGGAGCTGGTTTAATAATTGCGAGTCTCACGAGGGAGGCTGCTGCCGTGCTTATCCAACGGCACGGTTCGGAAGCCGTCATTGCCGCGTTACGGGCATGGGTACAATACAACAGCGGACGGTCGTCGAATCTGGGACACGAGGAGGCCATGAAACAAGCGAAGAACGCAATACCGAGCTTCTTGAACAGCATCGAGTCGAATAACGTTCGTATTATTCCAGGCGCGTTCAATTCCTCTCCCGAGTTCATCGCCATGTTCCAGGCCGAGGCGCTGGTCGCGATCCCCGTGGCCCTGCTTGCGGTCAAGCAGGCGATTGATCGAGTCGGGTCAAGCCTACAGGGTATTCAACGCGAGCTTACGATTACCAACATGGCAAAGATCCAGGGATGGGAACAGGAGGGCTTCGGTGCGCATGTTTATCGTTTTGTGGAGTACGAGATGCTCCGAGTTGCAAACGCCCGCACGAAGAGCGGTGATCAACGGCGGCACTACTTCTACGTCTGGAACCGGGATACAGACTGGTATCCAGTCTTTGAAGCGAAGAACCGAGCTTTCCCTCTTGGTTCTGAGTTTGGCGGGTGCCATCATGAGCTTGATACGATCTGTATGCGGATGAGAGCCGACAGGAGGACACTCATTCAAACTACGTCCCATGGACGCACGGCGCAGTTTCATCTCCTCGTTCCAACTCACGAGCCTTATGTTCTGGATCACCCTGTCATATTCCACGAGAGCCTTCTTCCGCTTACTATCACGGGCCAGCGGCATCGCAGTGTGGACCTCGTCTGGTTTAATCTCTGCTCGAAACCAACGGAGTTACATCTGCAATGTATCGGAGTCTTGGGAGAGAGGAGAAATACCATTGTGCAGGCCGGAGCTCTTAGCTTCGCTGGGTGCTGTATTGGCTTCATGGCAGCTGGTTGTGCTGCTGTGGCATTCCCTCCCTGCGCTCCCCTTGCAGAGGCAGCCATGCTGCCGCTCTGGTCGGGAGGAGTAGCTTCTTGGAGTGCTGTGGCCGGCGCCGCTGTTTACGAGGACGCTAATCGTGGGGATCTTTGCGTCCTAGGGGATGATTCCATACTGGTCCAGAGAGAGGGATAGTGTGCGTTGGCTTGGAACAAGCGTCTTTGGGGGTGCCATAGCGTTTGTCCTATGCTCAAGAAGACTCTTACCAAGCCCGGGAATTGGCTTGTATTGCTCTCAGTCGTTTGTTGTCTATCACGTTGTCCACATTAATGGCTTTCTATGCTGTATCTGGTTCTTCTAGCCTCTTCGCCAATTGCTATTCCAGTATTATATCATGAGCATTCGAAATCAAGCGTAGGCAGTCAGCGTCCTGGCCCGCTCCTGCAGGCACCTGCTAGTATGACAATGTAATCCTCGGGTATAAGGCTCTGTACCGTAGAGAGGGTTGCGAGCTAATGCCAAATAATTAGCGGTATAGTTGAATGTATATGCTTATTCGTGTGTCCTAAGCGCCAGCATTTTCCAGAGGAGGAGCTTCTATCGTCCAGTACTACGGAACAGGTCGTTCAGACGATTCTGACTGACCTCCCAAGCGTTCCCTACGCGTCTATCGGATTCTCCCCAAAAGAAATGGATCTTTTCGGCGACCTTTCCTGCAACTAATTGCCTGACATCCAGTTAACACGGGTGATAATTCTGCGGACAAGCCTTTCACTATTTCCCAGGTATTGATATGCCTGGCAAGCCGAAAGCCTTGTTCGAAAATCGGTTATGAGTGGTTCGGTGCTTTGACCTGAAAGTCAGCCTTTAAAGCCTGCAACGCTCTCTCGAACATGTAATTCATTGGCCCTTACAGAATAGTTCTGTTGTTTTATTTGACGCCGGGCCGTACGCCAGCTAACAAAGTATTATGTATGTGTGGCAGAGTTCTACTATAATCAATTCATCGCCCCATCGGCGGCTAACCTTCTGCCCCCGTTCACTTACAGAGCAGCCTTGTCCAGTGAATCTCACCAGAACTAGCTGGTCTGATACGGCGCAAGAGACGCAGAATTTTGATTGAAGCCAAGGCTGCATTTGACTCCAATCAATGGATTTCATAGGGGACTGCCTTGTCTATACTTGGATTAAATCTCCATCGTTCAAACCAACGATTGAAGGCAGCGCCGCCATGAACAAACTATGATCCATGAAAGGGCGCAGCTATAGTGAATCATAGATGCCAACGATTCAACGCCAAGGTTTAGCCTCAAAGATCCAAAATAGCCTAAGGGTCACGTCATGGTCCAATACCATCTGAATTAGCCTTCTTTGTACGAACTATTGGTTCATAACGACAACTGTGTACAACCCCCCCCCCCCCCCCCCCGGCGGGTGCACTTCGTCGCCGCTGCGCCCTGCCAAACGGGACATGGGTTTAAGAGAAGGCTGTGTTTATTGGGAATGATGGATGATACCACACTCTATATAAGGCTCTTCAAATGCGGCGCAAAATGTCAATACTGCCGCCAATATTGAAGTTCCCTTTTCTCATCTACCGTGCTTCGTACTACTTTACACTACACCCAGTATCAAACCATCCATGGCGTCCGTGGCTGAACGAACCAGAGAGTGTCTCGCAGAGCTGGAGGTTCACTTTACGTTAGTGTCCCGTCTCCTGTTGACTCATATAACTCATCTAACTGACCGAGAGCAGAGAGACCAAAATCCCTTCTGACGTACTGATCATTCTCGGACGAACTGGGTCCGGGAAATCATCTCTTCTAGAGGACCTATCTGGTCTCAATGGTTACTCACAACAGAGTGTTGACTCCGGTGAGCTTACTTCCTTCAGATACTTCCCTTGTTCTGAGACTTATGAGCCGGCCACAGTCACAACGACCATCCAACTCTGCAAAGCTATCATCAACGACAAACCCTACTTCGTCATGGATACACCGGGCTTCGACCCCAACGCCGAGGAGAGGGCATTCCGTGAAATCATACGCGGTGTGCAATCCATCCGCCCCTTCGCCCGCATTACCGGTTTCCTATATCTCACCTGCATCCCCCAAGAACGGTTCGATGACTTTGACCGAAAGTTGATCCAGTTCATCCGTGCCTTGAGTGGGCTGCAGTACATTCCCCGCGTCACGTTTATAACAACCTTCTGGACCGCGACGCCGGGACAGGCGGCATCTTACAGCCATCGCCTTGCGTCCCTTCGGCGCAGATGGGAGGATGGTGTTAATGTGCGCGGGTTGAAGACATATCAACACGGCTGGGACTACAACGGCGCTGGTGGAGATAGAGGTGTGATTATTGATTGGTTTATCAACCGCGAACAGATTGCGCGCCATGCGAAGGAGATGGTTACAAGGAATTATAGCAATCCGAGTATTGTCGCTTCGAGGATCGAAGCGGAACTGGATGCTAATGTGCCCATCCACGAAACGGACGCGGGGAGATTGCTTGGGCTACCTACTCCTGCTCCGTCGCAGTTTACCACAAGCGCACACGCAGCAGCACGACCGAGCCAAAATGCCTCTTCGCATACAGATGCCTCGAACCCGGTACCCCCGCTGGCCGCACATACATCTAGTAATACAACCCAAGAACAAACAGCGACCCCGCCGCCTGCGACTTCTGCTACCCAAGTGCTTCTTGAGGGACTCAGCTGGTGCTTCCGCAATATTAACCTTGGCAGTGTAGCCAGAGGCACGGGTTCAAGACCGAGCATGGTTAGTGGCGATCCATATAGAGGAGGTGGAGGTGAGTTCCCGGCGTCCTTTTTTTTTCCTATACCTTTAAGTATATAGCCGAATGTTGCTAACTGATATTCGGCTAGATCCTCTTTCCCATGTCGACTTGATGAAATCGAGAGGCCTTGACTCGAGCAGGGAGGCCAGGGTGATATATGCTCGGCAACATGGAATAGGAGGCGTACCTTTCTCTGCGTCGTGGGGGGAGGCAATGCTGAGGCATCTTCAAAAGAATGGATGATACAATACATGGCGATTGAAAACAAGATGGTTTGAAGGGCGCAAGGAATATGATATGGTTCGTAGTTGTTTATAAAGCCCTACTATTATTACATATATGTTTTGACGATGTTGCCCAAGACTTCAAGTTCCAAGGTGCTAACCCAGGCGTATTGTTTAAACAACATATTAAATAGCAGTCGATGGTCGATGAATGTGTAGCAAGGATCACAAGATTAATTATAATTAACCTTGTAGTGGAATGTCTCGCTAGGCCTGTATGCACCTTATCTACAATCCTAAAGAATCTCATGTTATGGCCATGTAGTACCTAGTGCGTGTCACGAATGACTACTACGGTATTCGATTACACGGCGAGAAGCAACATTCTCTGACAGTCTCCTAACCATCACATCGGTGCATGGAGAAACTTGTACGTCTATAATAATATAATATTATTTATAAGGCTTAATAGGGAGTAGATATTATAGTAAATTAGTTGATTGAGTACAGGTATACGCATAACTAAACAATAACTAATACCATAAATACATAAATACATACTTAGCCCTGAAATCACGGGACCAGATAACAAGCGGCCAGCTATCGACTCTTACTCTACATACAACAACACCATCTCCAATTGCGACTCCATAATCAATAATCCAACTCAGGCCGCAAAACAACACCCCCCTCCACTAACCCTCCGACCTAAAAAGAAAGGAAAAAACAAAGAGAGAGAGAGAGGGAGAAAAGAAGAGAAAGGGAAAAAGAAAAATGACCGACCTAACACCAACCCTCAACGCAATCCTCCTAGAACGTCAATCCCCGCCTATCCCAATCAAAACTTACAATAAGGCCTCACCAGCTGATGAATTCCTGAAGGAAGCTTACCGCATTGTACGTACATTTTCCTTCCCGGATCTAGTTTATCCAATTTCTATTTCAATGCTTAATTCAACACCCAAAACCAACGCAAACAACAAACTAACAAACACAACAGAACAAACACATAACACACCTAACAACCTATCTCCAAAAAATCCGCCCCCAATATCTCTCTCTCACCAAAGCCCCTCGCCACAAGTCCTCGTCCCCAAAACCCAGAAACCCAAAGTCGGGAGACGAAGCAGCCGCGTCCCCACTCAGCGACACCGATCGCGACCAAATCGATACCTCCACCTCCCTCGTTCTCCATGATCTAAGTAACTCCATCTCAACACTTTCCAGCGCTGAGACTCTCCGGCATGAGACGGCGACGAGTATCCTTCGGAAGAAGTACGGGCGGTCGGTCGCGGGACGGGTGCTTGCGAAATGGGCTTCCGGGTCTGGGGCGCTTGGTGATGACGACAGTGAGGAGGGGAAGAGTGAGGAGCAGGTGCGGGAGGAAGAAGGGGTGAGGGTTTTGCAGGTTGTTAGGGGGAGTGTGATTTGGTTTTTGAGGAGGGGGTTGGAGGATGTGGTTTCTTTGCAGAGGGGGTTGGTGGAGAGGAGGATTGAGAGGGTTAGTGAGAGGGAGAGGAGTGTACTGTTTAAGGGTGGTTCTGGGGGCTCGAATACTCGTATGTCTGCTGTTGGGGATACTGGTGCTAGCAGTGGTGCGGGGGGTGCGTTTGGGGTGGATGATACGGTGGGTTTGAAAGGGGCAGGGATGGATGAGAGTGAGGTGAGGGCCATTGAGGAGGAGCTGTCGGCGGAGCAGTTGCAGCTCTTTGAGGCCGAGAATGATGCCATGGTTAGGTATTATGAGGATACCTTGAGTAAGGTCCAGTATGTTTCTCCACCCCTTTTCTCCAGCCCGGTGTTGGTAGGGGTTGGTTTTGTGGCGGTGGGACCGGGCTAATGTGGAGTAGGAATGCGGAGAAGTCGCTTTTGGAGATCTCGTCGCTGCAGCAGACGCTGGTGTCGCATCTTGGTACGCAGGAGGAGTATATTAGTCAACTCGTCACGGATGCGGCGTCGACGCAGACGAATATCGGGCGCGGGAATAAGGAATTGAAGAAAGCGAGTGAGCGGCGGAGTGCGGCACAGGCGGTGTTTTGGGGCACGGTTGGATTGTGTACGTCGTTGATTGTTTGGGATCTTATCTTCTAGATCTATTTTAATCTGGGGTGTGGGTTGAAGATGGTTATCTGATGGGGGTGTCATTTCCCATACTGTACTTATACTACCTGATTAATTCTCACGAGTGATGCAGATACTTGATCTATATTTAGGGGATATATAACCGCTATCTGAATGACGAACAAAGTGGACATGGCATCAATGAAATAAGGTACAGGGAAATAAATTTTATAATGTCTCCCGGACGACACTGTCGACTGCCTCTGCGAAGTAGTCGATGTTATGTGTGTTGAGGCCGGCCATCGAGATTCGGCCGTTCTTGGTCTGCAATGGCGGTTAGCTTGAGGGTTCCTGGTGGCCTGACTCCGAGTCCCGACATAAATGCCGACCGGATACCCGGCCCAATCATCGGAGGCACCGAGGATGAGTAGCGGTGAACTTACCATATAGATGTGCCACTTCTCCCGCAACAACTTGACTTGTGATTCAGTCAAGCCTGTGAAACTGAACATGCCGATTTGATCCGTCACATGGTTCCATGTGCCAGGTGTGCCCTTAGCCTCGAGACGCTCACGCAGACCCTGACGCATCTCCGCGATGCGCCCACTCATCGTCCGGAGGTCCTCCTCCCATTCAGCGAACAAGGTGGCGTCATTCAGAACACGGCTGGCGATTTGCGCACCGTATGCCGGGGGATTCGAAATCTCCGATCGCTGCAGGATGGCCAACTGACTGGCGACATTGGCGATATCGTTCTTGGCCGCCGCGCCGGGCGCCGAGACGAAATGGAACGCGCCCGCGCGCTGACCGTACAGACCGAAGTTCTTCGCGAAGGACTGCGCGACACACAGCTCGAAGCCCTGCTCGATGAAGTATCGCACCGCCCAGGCGTCGCGGTTCAGGTCGCCCGAGGCGAAGCCCTGGTATGCGGTATCGAAGAAGGGGAAGTGGCGGCGCTCGCGCATGACGACAGCGAGCTGTTTCCATTGGTCTTGGGTGAGGTCGACTCCAGTCGGGTTGTGAGCACAGGCGTGGAGGAGGATGACGGAGCCGGCGGGGGCCTCACGGATGCCGTTCAGCATGCCGTCGAAGTTGAGGCCTTTCGTCTTGGCGTCGAAGTAGGGGTAGGTCGCGAGGGAGAGGCCGACATTGGTGAAGATTTGGTTGTGGTTGGCCCAGGTTGGGTTGGAGAGGTAGATGGTGGGCTTGGGATTCGCGGGGTGGAATTTGGCCAGGAAGAGGGCACCGAGATGGACAGCTCCTGTGCCCGAGATCGTCTGGAAAGTGGCCACCTAATTGACCTGTTAGCGAATGTGGGACCCACGACCGACCGGGGTGCAGCGTACTCTTTGTTCGCGGATCGCTGGGCTGTCAGATCCCAAAATCACTTTCTGGGCGGCCGAGGTGAATTCCGGGAGACCTTTAATGGGGAGGTATTCGTTGTTCACGGAGGGATCATTGCGAATCAGGTCACCGGCCTGATCAGGGTTAGCTCCATTGGTTCTCGTCGTCTCAACTGCGCAATTCCACCACATACCTTTTTCACGACGGGGAGGATCCACGGCTTTGCGTTGTTATCCCGATAGGCGCCGATAACCAGATCGACTTTCTTATCAGAGGGGTCATTGCGGAAGGCCTGCGCCAGACCAAAGAGCGGATCCTCGGGGGCGGCAGGGACCACAGACGTGGAAAATACGGAAGGGCTGGCAGAACCCATGACTTGAGCGGAGAGGGACGCGAGACGATTACGAGCGATGGTGGAAGAAGAAGAAGCTGAGGTGGACGGAGGCGACATGATGACGACGGGGGGGCTTTAAAAAGGCACAAAAGAAATCAATTGATCAAACAACACGCTGGTCACACCACCTGAGGTCACGGCTTGCTGCTTGCGTTCACCGGGGCAAATAAATTCTTGGTGAGACTGGAATCCCGACGGCACCAAAGGAATTCGTCAGAGGCAAATTAAGGAATTGAAATACAATGGAAAAGTTGGGGTATTGAGGAGAACCGTTACCTAATAATGAGGGGAAATATAACTCATATAATAATAGTAATCTTGGTAATAAATCTCGTATAGGGAAAGTAATCGCGTATAGTACAGGGTATAGTAAAGTATTTCCGAAAATGCAGGATATCAAAGTATTGATACACCGAAATCCAAAAGAGAGAGAGAACCGTTCATCTTGCAGGGAACCGTCCGATGTTCGATCTTCTTTAATTTATATATGGCACAAGACTGAGGGAATGACCTTTTTTTTTTCTTTGGACAGCCGAGGAACAATCGGATTCGAAGGTTACCGACCATGACGACATTCACATGTCGGCATTCCGATCACGAGTTCTTTCCCTATCTCACAATACAAAAACAATCTCAATTTCTTCGCGGGACTTGTGTCAAGGAAAAAGATTGACCCCCGGGGGATGAATTCCAGTGGACTTGAAAGGGATAAATTTCCCTGACCGACCTATCTGTAAATTCGATACATACAGCAGACGATCCAATATCAAATGCGGGGAAACAATTGGCATCACTGACAGCTTCTGCATTCAGCAATGGAATTATTTACTCGATGCAGATACTTTGGTTTTCCCCCCACTCCTCCGCACAATGAGCATTGTGTTTTCTAGAAATTCTACTCCTAGCGAATTACTATAATTACTATGATTATATTATACCATAAAATCCAGTCAATTTTCCACATGGTAAATAAATTGGTCCTCAATCGGCGATTGACGTGACAAAAGATATACTACAATTCCATGGATCTCCGGCCTCTACCCCGTAATTTGTCTTCGACCAACCACCTCGGCCCTAAAACAAAAGCCTTTCCCCTTCAATGGTCTCAAGCCTTCATCCGGCGCCAGCCGTCCCCGTGACTTTTTCTCCGCCGGTTAAATGAAACCCGATGACAAAAATAACGCAACTCCAGAAAATGACTCGGACTAAATCCGGGTGCAGACCGACCGGATAATTATCGTCGCGACAGCTTTCCCTTTTTTCCAGGACACAGTTGCCTATCAGTTCTTGGCCTTTTCTTTTCTTTTTCCCTTTTTAAATTAATTCTCCGTGAAAGGGTTAATTTTGCTACATGTGTGTATCCCTTGTGGGGTATGCCCGTGGTTCACCGGTATGGTACGATATAGTATGATCTGATATAGGGATTTTTCTGGGTCCTGTGAGGATTTATGGGTCTTGCCCGTTGAACCCAACGTTATCAAGGACGATGGCGGTGTTTGTGGTAATTATCCTGGTCGATTTTCCATGTCAATGCGACTCTTATGTCATTCTGTATACTTACTGTTAGTATTTATTGTTGCATGGTTATTGTTATGTAACTATATACGGACGATACTGGGTTCAACCATTAAATCCCTCGAGACGAGGGATCTAGATCGCGGTGCCTGAGTCACCCGCCAGGCTGATCACTCTCCGTTTAGTCATATGGTTCTTGGACGTGCATAATGTATGGAGCCTCAGGTTTAGGGCTGTTCGGAATCTACGGCTGCGGGTTCGCTGATAGGGTGGTCAAATGACCGAAGATAACTCGTCGGCTTCGAGACGACCTCGATGTTTAGAGTGATGACCTCGTATATCGCGTGCTTCGATTCTTCTACGTAAGAGGAAATCAACTTAAGTTACCTGACGTAAGAGCTCAGCTTCTAAAAAAGTTTATTACCATTGACCATGCAGTATGAAGTTTCAGTCGCCGATTGCGAAAGAAAGCTGCCGTGAGCCTCCACCCCTCGGGCGTTCTTGATATGTTTGTATCCGAAGTTAATAGGATCTCTTGGTTCAACAGTCAGTCAATCCTCCTTGTACGTACTTCGAGAATTAGAGCGAATATACCATACACACTCGTTGCTGCTTATACCGCGCGAGAAAGTAGACACTAGTCCACCCGCACGACATTAAGATTGTGGGGATGGTTTGTGTATGTATGAGTAAAGCAGGAATGGTGGCGCTTGCCTACTTTAGATAAAAGTATTTGTTTGGATTTCTTTAATGTGTAAATTATTCCTGAGTTAGATTAATTGGACTGTCATAGATGGATTTTGAGAATAGTGCTGATTCGGACCTTAAATTGCGTATGTATAAGCACGCTAGTTTTTGAAAATACATCACAAGAGTGGCCGGGCAAAGAGGTGAAATTCCCGCTACGTCTGCTTTTCTCAAACTATAATTACCTCTGGTGTTTGTCGGTAGGAGACAATTATAGACACCGAAATACACTGTCCAGTTTATAGGAACGACCACTACGAATTACAACTGCGCAGGACTTGACTCCCCCACAATTCCCGAGCTAAAACTACAATGTACATACTTTTCACCTCCACTCTAGTCCTGAAATGGTTATTGTAAATTCCAAAAGAACTAAGGAACAGAAGATCCTCAGGGTCTATTTTAAAGAGGAAAGAGTCTCTGCATTGTCTAACAGCCTACGAGTGTCGGCTTTAGTCCACATGGTTGGGAAGGGCTGAGTTGGAAGATTGCAGAAGAGACATGAGCGACGATCACTGCTATAGAAGGGATGATAGATGTCAAGAGCACTTCTGGAAGGACAACCAACTATATTCAGACAATGGCGGTTCGAAGAGTACAGATATATACGTGGATGGCTTCGTTTTGCGCCGTTGAAGCTCTAGTCCTATCAAACCATGTCTTTCTTAACTGATTAATATAGAGATATCAAGTAAAGCTATTGCGTCGATAAAGAACACGTGAATATTTAGATTTTTACTTCATTAAGTCATTATATCCCAAGAGACAAACCACACTCGACGAAAAAACAGCAACATCTCCGAAAAAGAAAACACAGAAGATAGTCAATACGACACCGACCTAAAAGAGCCTAAGGACGAGGGGGCGTAAACTTAGGATATCAGTAATACAGTACCTCTTTGTAGAGCACAAGCACCACGAGAATAGTATATCCAACAACTTACGAACTTTGATAAGACGGATTACACCAAGGAGGAGTCAGGATTGTAGAAAAAGCACCAGTACCCTCCTTAACCGGACGGAAGAGAAATGGTGATAATAGGCCTAATCCTTCAATCTTTTATCTCTACGTCCGCTTTATTCATTTAATAACTCTGGCATATGTAGACTTTGTGCTGGATCATGAGGGTGGGGGGATTGTGGGTGGGTTAGAGGGAGCCTAGGAAGATATGTTCCTGTCTACATACGGTTAATGTAGGTCAATACTTATGTTTTATGATTCATTGGAACTAGCAAGGGATATTTTTCATTTTCTTTTCCTTTTTTTCCCCCTCTGTAAACGAATCAAGAACTTTCATCATCCCACAAAGCAAATCTGCACGCAGCGTTGATCTTCAAGATCCATAGGAAACTCCAACCACCAAATCACTATCGAAGACCGAATGATCTTCACAGTGAACCTCGACCTTGCCATGAGAATGCTCGATTTTGATGACTTTCTTGCCTGTAAGAATACGATCTTGCTCTTGTGCAAGATGATCGTAGAGGACCTTTAGTACGACCTGACGATCAATAAAAGCAATAGGATAACCATGCCTCATCTGCAGTAGCTGCGGAGTTTCATTGTGGACAATGAGGTTTCCCTCCTCAGTCCAGAAGAACGACTCCCGCAGAGGCTCTGTGGTGGCCAAGGTATCATCGAACAAGCCCAGTTGATCCAGGATGCGAGCACCGTTGGGTACAATGCCGATTGAGGCGCCGACCTGAGGTGCGATCTCACTATGAGCCTCGAGTACCACGAAGTCAATGTTGTTTCTCAGCAGGCAGTGAGCTAAGGTCAAGCCTGCAATAGACCCGCCTACAATCAGTACTCGGAACTTTGGCTTAGGGCTCGCCATGGGTAGAATTGGTATGATTGTTTATAGAATAGAAGGCGGATGCGTTGCGTATTGCGCTCTTAGGGGGAGACCTTTGCCATTTAAATACTAAGAAACTTGAGACAGTCGCCACACCGACTTCTGAGCATAGACCAGACAATGTCGTGAGATATTAGGATAAAAGTTATGTACATACATTGCCATGATAGCCCCCTTTCGCATTATCAATAGTAAATGGATTGAAAGCAAGAAAGGCGAAGATCATTTACCTAACCAGGCCAGGCCCCGGGTGAAAATTACCAGAAATCCGAATAATCTTCAACACCTTCTATTTTAGCCATCACTTTCACCCTTCTACATCCACAGTTTCCTCTTGAGCGTCGTCATGGATCCTCCAGCCCCACGCTATCCAGTCTCCGATCGGAAGCGACGGCACCAGAAGCCTCGAGTGTTACAATCATGCACATCGTGCAGAGAGGAAAAGGAAGGCCGTATGCATGTATAATGGGACACCCACAAGTAACTTCGTCGATTGATCTAGACTGAAATGCAGCCGCGCTCTTCCTTGTATAAACTGCCAGAAGCGCAATCTGGGGCAATTCTGTCGCTATGTGAAAGCTCGTCTCCCGGACGGACGTCTGGAACACCCAGAACAAGCAGTACTTGATCAATCGTCTGCTCCTGGGCCTAGTGAATGCAGCGCAGAAACTGGCACACCGTTTGTCAACTCATGCGACTGGCAGACTATAATGAAAGATGCAGTGTTGTTTGCCTCAATTTCCGCTTTCCGCCCACTTTGGCGGCATGTTGACAATCTTGATAGACCGAGCAGCTTAAAAATCGTCAAGACATTGCGAATCATTCGTCAGGCGAGGAATATATACAAGCAGGGCTCAATGCCCCGTTGCTATAGTCGGGGCTCTCACACAATGTGGGCATGAGAGACCTCGTGGCTTCATTGCTAACTCGTCAACTTGCCGACAAACTAGTGTTCAGGTGCCTTGAATCTCATGAACCAGCGTTGAGTATGTTCCACCGAGTAATCCATTAGCTACTGCAGCTGACTTTTGATGGAGTGCTCATACACCCCCCAACATTCCAATGTGAGGTACAGTTTGGCTTTATATCAATCATCTCGCAACGCCATCCCATAAGCAAAGTATCGCAAATTCTGGTAGTCCCCATTCGCAGCTAGTCCCGCTTGGCTTGCACTTCTTTACCGAGCCACCAGGGCATATCGAATTCCCTGAGCCCAGTCATCGCACATGGGATTGGCATGTGTTACGGCACGGCAAATACGTTCTGGGCTTTAACCGATGTGATTCTGGAGATGGACGATTTCACGCGGCTGCAGTTAGGTGTCCTTCTTTGGAAGGCTCGCGGAGCAAGCCCGGATGGAAGAGAAAAGGATAGTTTGCTACCTCGCTGGTATCTAACCGAAGATACTCAACAGGCAATAACCGATAATTAAGAGAAGGGAGGTGTTGTCGCTCTTTAGACAGACTATCTTTAAATATCGAGAGTAAATTTATGGGCGACACTGATTCACTATCAGACAAATCATCTCTGCTAATAAGTAATTTTTCACTCTCTAATTCTAGGGTGTTCATCATGTTGCGCAAATCACACAAGAAGATATTAAGTGCTTTAGCCAGGGGGAGATTCTGGATATGACCTCTAAATATCCATGAACTCTACTACACTAACGGTGGGGATGCTCCCTAGCGCTAACCCCGGTGGGCAGCGGATACCCACTGAGGTTATGTAAATGTACCACTAATGTCAACCCACCACCACCAAATTACTTATATTTCGAGGTCATTGTCAAAGAATATGATGATTGACAGTAAACCTCGAGGCAAGACTGGGTTACCTAACGAGCAGTCAGCATCACCAGACATCCCAAGGCAAAAGGCAAAAAAATGCCGCCCTAACTGCCATATGTTGTCATTTGCTAGATTATTCTCGGAGAATCTTAATTAATGAAATCGTATACCTTGTGTGCCACCCTGCATAAGTATCTGACCTAGGGTGCGGGGCCAAAATTAAAAAGCAATAGAAGCATCTAGCCTCGGTATGATCATATACTATCTATGATATGAAGGAGGGAGAGAAGTGATTGTGGTCTACTCAACGTTCAAACCACCAAGAACCCCGTTCGATCCGTATCAATCTATTCATACCTTCGGGGTAGTAACAAGCTCTGACTTCTTGTCTTGGCCGCTAGCCTTGGTTGAGCTTACCAGCTGTTGATCAGGTATGGGGTAGAGATTCCGAGAGTATCCACCTGGCGGGTCCTAATTTAGGCCAAGGTTGAACCCACTCGGATTCTCCACGTTACATCGACAATTATTGCAGACTGGTGCGTTGTAGCTCAAGACCTGTGTCAATTATTAAGTCATAATCTATCACATTTCAGCGAGCTTGACAGGAGCCGAGAGCGCCATAATACAAACCCTGAAGAGCTCGGGGGAATGGATATAAAGTTGGGAGTTGGGACCTGAACTTCCGCATTTCCCAGGTCTTGTACTGCTTCTAATCGATCACAAACACAACTTTGGTAATTGCCGATTTAGCATGGTATGTCACTATGGTGGCCAGTGCTGCTGGCAGACTGGCTTTGTCTTTGATCTCTTTCTAGCCAACAAATGTCTCCCATGGTGACTGTAAACCTACTACTGAACTAGAATCTATATGTCTCGGCTTGAGATATTACGTTTGAAATACTTAGCCCAAGTTATACAGTAATCATTCATTGTCATCTAATAGATAGACGCGGTACGTAGCTAATGATTTGTCTACTTACACAACTCTCTTATGCATTGATCCCCCCCCCCCCTTAATATCGCGGGGCTCGATTGCTGTATACTAGGATTTACACATTTATAAATATCGCTGGTGCTTGATGGGTACGGCTATGTTCCATGTAGCCGCTATCCTTGTATACCGTGTAAGTTGGTTCACTCATTCAAGAAACGCCAACTGCCTAAACGCCCTTATATACTTCTTCACTGCATTATGTACCCTATGATTAGAAGTGGCTATCTAGGTTGTTCGGAACGGCGCTTAAAAATGGGGGTAGGGTAGATGACAGAATGGCTTGAATCTCTATTGGTCTACGCGCATCTCCCCACCGCCAACCACGCAAGGGACAGCAGCCGATCACCATAAATTAGTGCTGCCAATGAACTTCTACTTGGCTGTTTCAGTGCTCTTCGATAAAAGGCCAGTCATGGGCTGGCTGTTTTATAGAACATTTATCCCCACTGGTAGGCATTTAGCTTTGCCTTTGAGACACCCAAGCTGTTCACTATTCATTTCCTCTTTCCTCCCCCAGCGCAGGAAGATTGCCACGGTTCCAATATCTCAACCACGCGTATTCCCCGACTCAGGATTTCATTGCTTAGATTTGACTGCCAGATTCGAAGAAGAAACTCTTCCTGATTATTCAGAGGAGCGCTACTATCCTATTCACATTGGTGAAATTTTTAAATCCCAATATCAGGTCGTTACTAAACTCGGCTACGGCTCATCGTCAACCGTGTGGCTATGTCGGGACCTTTGGTAGGTCTGTGCAAAATACTTTCTCCGAGCTATACGCTGATGTATCCAAAGTAATCGCCGTTATTTAGTCTTAAAAGTTCATGTGCGAACTAAACGACAGCCCCCCGAGGTGGGAATCTCGAATCATTTAAAAGCCATGCAAAGTACTCATACGGGTAAAAAATATGTCCGGCTTATTCTGGACGCGTTTGAGATTCCCGGGCCGTATGGAGTCCATCCATGCCTCCTGTACGAGCCTGCTGGGATCGACATACGTGATTATATCCACGGTCTTGAGGGTGATGCCTTACCGGAGAACGTCCTTCGGCCTACCCTGCGGTTTGTACTCATTGCCCTGGATTACCTGCACCAAGCGAATATCATCCATACGGGTTAGTAGTACCTCTATCAAAATTTATGGCCCCTATTAAATTTGTTCCTAGATATTCAGCCGAACAATATCCTTTTAGGTATCGATGACGACTCCATCCTTGCTGAAATGGAAGAGGACGAAATCTCGAACCCCTGCCCTCGAAAACAGCTTCCTGATCGTACCATATATGCCACTCGTGCAATGCCTTTGACAAGCGGCGAACCGATACTCGCTGATCTTGGAGAGGCGCGACTTGCCGAAGGTAAACAAACCGGCCTCATAATGCCAGGTGTGTATCGGGCACCAGAGGTATCGTTAGGTATGGACTGGGACAGTAAGGTGGATATATGGGGCTTGGGTCAGATGGTAAGATTATCAATATACTGCGTTATAATATCTAATAATCGTGTTTCCTTTGTAGGCATGGACACTGTTTGAGCAAGGACATCTTTTCAGAACCCTGAGCCTTGAAACGGAGGCTGAGAAAGCTCAGCGTATTGCGGAAATGATTTCTCTTTTAGGACCGCCCCCGGCTGAGTTCCTTAGACGAAGTCAAGAAAGTCTCAAATTTTGGGACGAGAATGGTGGGTAAATTTTGACCGCTTTTGAACATGTTATCAATGGCTCACCTAAGCTGCAGGCAATTGGAACAGTCCTGTGAAGATCCCAGAGCAATCTCTTGAAGGCCGTGAATCTCGGCTTGAGACAGATAATCAAGTGCTGTTCCTCCGATTCTTACGGAAGACTCTGCGGTGGTTACCGGAGGAAAGACCAACTGCGAAGGAGCTTTTATTAGATGAATGGTTGAGAGGAGATGATTACTAGATTCTAATGCATGTGTCGACTCACCCCTAGCTGCACTGTTATCAGAGTCTCAGATCAGTGCGTCCTGTTCTCGATTACATGACACATTTCTCTGAAGTGATAACCGACTTTACACCGGAAAGGCGATACATTTGTCATTTACAAGCTCGCAGTCCATATTCTCTTTGGCAATTGCATTGCCAGGTAAAACTACTCTGATAAAGAACCCTCAGCCCCGAGAGTCTAGGTATGATATGCAGCACAATAAACCATTGGGGGGCTTTCAGAGTACTTCCGGCGTTCTCACGTGGAATGACCTCCGCATGAAAGACGGTAGAGAGGTGTGTGTTATCTCTGTTGATATAGTAAGAGGGAGTAGCGCATAATAAGGCGAGGCAGTTAGCATTCATTCAAATTGGAGTTTCAACAAAACAACCTTGTCGGGTGACATTCACTTTTGGCGTCTTCAACATCATGTGGAAACATAATCATGTCGCTCATCACAATCCTCTTCTGTTCTCCCTACGGTTCTCTATAAACAGTGAACTAGCCTATCTTATGATCACTTCTGACCATCTCCAAAGCTTTCTTTGTATTAATACCCAAGATGAGTTGCTCGCCCGCCGTCAGTCGCTATGGTCCCGACCCGCAACAATCACCCTGACCATAACGAATTATCCAATATCATCAATAACCTCGTCTCGGGCCACTCTTCCACTGGCCCGGCTGCCTTCGTCATGGGCACCGACGGCGTCTTCCGAACCCTGAGACCCGCCTGCGATGTGATAGACGCCGTCGGTGGTCCACCCGGCTGGTCAAAGCTTTTTTGATCCTACCATATCTGATCAGAAGCAGTGGTGAAAGCCAGACGTTATTGCTGTCGCCGACGACAACAGTGGAGAGAGTGCGGGTCAAGAAGGAGAATGAGAAAACCAAGGAGATGATGCAGGTGAATATAAGGAAAATGGAATGTAGTAAGTAGAGCCCAAGGCACGAAAAAGTGCCAATTGGTGTTTTAGTTGAGTGGAAGGATTGACAGGCCACATTCCTACTATAGATAATCGGGATTTATAGATAGCTGTGGCTATAACTGTAGAATTGCTTACATTTTATAAATTTATGGCTTTCTTCGTAGGGCCCTCAAACAATCTTATCAGCCCACATCCAGTTTTTATCCTCCTCTTTTAGTATCGAGACTTAAGTGTGTAAGAAAAGTGCATATTCTGTCTTTTCCGGCTTCTGCGGCCTATTCCTTCTAACAGGGATTCATCTTGAAACCTGGTTTTAGGATAAATCGGAGGAAACTGCCATCGTGAGCTGGATTCTATCAAATACATTCGGGTAGTATGGATAGGATAAAAACAAATTTTGATTCAAGTCATATATGATCTAGAGAAAGCCATAGAGTAATTACACGTAAAAGACAAAAGGACTTGTGGGGCGACCTGATCAGAACATAAATGCTTGATCTTCAAACCTAGTTCTCTCAACTTCCATAAGAAGTTTGTAGCTTAGTTTCACGGACGCGTACGCGGCTTTCCTCCAATCATTGATCCATTGCCACGCTACGTCCCGATCTTCTCCCAACAGAATCTTTATTTCTTCTTGGACCTCCATTTCGAGGTAAGAGCGTCGGCATAGAATAGCATCCGTCAATGGACTGATTCCCTGAATGGTAGGGGAATGCTCGACAAATGTGACTGCTCGCGGCGATAGGTCTCTAACATCCCCAGGTACAGGCTCCCTTTCTGAGCGAATCTTTTGGATAGCCTGAACTACCCCCGGCTTAGAGTGCAAAGTCCCTTTCGAAAGCTCCATTATAACCGGTACTGGCAGAAGGGTTGGCCGAAGTACAACAGCAGTGTTCAGATCCACACTTTTTATAGGAATCAAGGTTGTACCAGATCCATATTGGCAGACACTAGGAGGTGGCGGTAGGACGATACCATTATAATTGAGTATACCCCTTTCCACTCCTGGCGGGAAGGCCAGAAGTTCGGTATCAGACGAAAAAAGGGCCTGTAGGAGTCACAGAACCGGATCAATTTCCGCTAACTGCTGGAAGAGAGAGAACTGATAACTATCCAGCTGATTTTTGTAGTGATGCTCGAAGCGTTTAAGCTCAATTACCGCACAGTCGGCCATTGTCTTCTTGTCGACTAGACCTTGATATTCCCACCAATCATATATGTCAATCCCTTGAAGGCTTCCCTCCGCCAGCACACGTTTAGGATCGATGCTTGAGGCTTTAAAACGTTTTAATAAGTCTTCCATGATTGCTAATTTGTGGGCGGCCTCATCATCCCGAATCCGGGTTTCAGGATGAGTTTCAGTAGCCGTCTCTCCTTCCTTCCCTTGGGGCGTATTCCCGATAGAGGGAGTGGGAGAGGTGGGTGTAGTGGCCTACGAATGTTGTTCGGTCTGCCGAGGGTTTCTAAGGGGGTTCTGTACACCCACGCCCTGAAGGCTGGAAGGGGATTCTGCATCTTACGGTGTTCTGCAAACTGGAGGGAGCTCCTGGGGATCCGATAAGTCGCGAAGTGTCGCCGTGTGGAGATGTATGGGAGTCAGACGTCGTGCGCTGCGAGGGTTGTCTTTGGCCTGAGCTACTTGCAGTCAACACTGGTACCGTCTCTCTCTTGCGCTTTTGGCGCTGTGTGCTGGTAGGCACGGTGTTCATGGTTTCGATGGTGGATGTAGGTGTGGCCGCCGGCTCGACGGTAGTTGCGGGAGGGACTTGAGTGCCTTGGAGGCTTTCTGTATCTTGATATTCACTGTCTGATGATAAGTCTGAAAGCTCCTCTATGATAGTCTGGGGCAATGGGAGCTGGGGCTCGGTCCCTGCCCACTCAAAGCCGGGACCACCAATTGGAGCCTCGATAATCTCAGATACTGTACTCAGCAGCCCCATAGAATTCCTCTGCACGCCGAGCTCAGCAAGAACCTCATTCCCCACAGGGGGGCGTCTAGGGTTTGCTTTATAGAGATCAATAGCCAACTGAATATCGACAAAACCAGGATCAAGATACCGAGACTTTCCACGACCTACATGCTGCAGGCGTTGTACCAATGCATGGACGATATATTTCATTGCTTCGTCATAGTCTGCGCACGCAGTCGCCAAACGGCTGACTGCCCCCCTCCAGCCTTGTGCAGTATTAATAGCTAAAAACGCGGTTGCCTTAGCCTTCCCATTTAGCAAGAACTTTCCGAGTTGCTCTCTGGCATGCCCTCTGGTTTTTTGCCGTGGTTCGTACAGCCTGCTCAGCTTTAGACCAGATATGACGATTTTTCTTTCTGATCCTAGCGAAGTCATTTCCCAGAGTGTCCTTACCCACCGACCACATATTCACAAGAAACGCATCGCGTACGAGGTCATATACATCAATCGCACGATTAACTTCTCCTAAGGCTTCGTGAAAATGTTGTATATAAGTTTCCCTCGGTAGCTCAGTAGCCCACGTGCGAAGCTGAAAGAAAACTTCATTCGGTGATGAGAACGTATGCTCAGCAACGATGAGTGGTTTTGCAGATTTATCAGATGATGTAGATGGGATAGTTAGGTCGCTGAAGTGTTTACGTTAGCTCTGGTACTTGTTTTCACGATGTGTACTTGTCACACGTACCTCATTCTGGCGACGAGTGAAATGTGGGACGAGAGAGATCCTCAAGAATCTCTAATATTTGGTAGCTAGCTCACGAAAGGTATGAGACAAAGGAAAGGCAAGCTGGGATGGAAGGGTAAGGTGGAAGGGTGAGGTGGAAGGTGGAAGGTGAGTTGAAAATTGATATCAAGGATGGAAGAAAGATATGGGGGGAGAAGATACCCACGTAATTCTGAATCCGGATTTGGAATGATTTAGAATGTGGTGTCAACCTACGTTGAGGAACTTTCAAGGTGGTGTTTGTGAAGTCGAGAGGTCTGTATTTTATGAATTTATACCTCAGGCTCCGAAATGAATTCACCTGCTGAAAAGCAAATCTTTCTCTCTCCCCCCTCCGGTGTGGTTAAGCTATACGTTCTCAAGGGAAAGCGCATGTTCTCGTTCTTCCCGAGTTGACAGCCTATTCTTGTTCGGCAGACTTCATTCTGGAGCCGTCAGAGACCAGGCGTCGGACTAATTCATAGGCTCGTTCACAGTGCTTTGAAACGGACTCGGTGCCTCTTGACGCGGCAGAATGCCAGAGCGGTGTTTACGGTGCTCCATACCTAGTACTAAGTAGTGAGCCCACCTGCCAGTATGCAAAAGCGTCTTCACTCGTCACCCATAACCTACTAGTTTCTAGTTCAATACTACTCCTTCCTCCTCATATCCTTCACTCATTTTCTTGACCCAGAATAACCTCGCATAGCCCTGCGTTTCCTCGTTTCGATCATCCGTTCGTTACCACAAAAAATAGTAAACGAAGAAAACTGAGAACACCGTCGCTTCATCTGGAATAGTCGACTCCCGATCTCCCTTCTGGGCTACAAATCTGAGAGACACCGCGTGACTAAGAAGGTGTCAATGTCACGTAAGAGACGAAGCGGTCCTAATGTATTACAACTGAATTACGTGGATCCGGGCTATAGTCATCAAAATACTTCCTTCCTTCTTTTGACTGTTCAGCTTGCGAGGCAGTCGCTTTTGAGATCAATAGCTGCTTCCCTATACGAGGTTATTCTAACTAGTAGTCGTTTATTACAGAGGTAAGATCGCTCCTGAAATCCATCCATCACCACCAGCTAATAATGGCAGGTAAAGTGAACGACCAGGCTCGGATGCCTCCGCCTGAGTCGCCTTCCCGCTCCCCTCGTCGCTATGACAGTTCACAGCCTCGGACAGATATCTCCAACGCGTTCAGTGACAGCGTCAAGCTTGAGGTTGCCCGCATGTCTGGTTCCTCTTGTTGGAGCTGTACAACCCCAGACCCTGAATACGCCCACGTGGTCGCACAAAAAGACGGTCAAGTATGTATATCATATCCTCATATATATTGCCTACATTGGCTAATCAGCCTCCAGGCTCCTTATTGGATCAAAGCTGGCCTATTCCCATTTTCATTTAAAACAGCGGTCAACTGTATTCCTCTTTGTCCGACCTGTCATAGTGCTTTCGACCGTTCTTCCGACCCGTGCTGGGTGTTCCTACCGACCAACTTAGCGTTTTTTATCAAGTGGGAAATGGAAGACCGGGCCCGACGTACCCAGGTGGTGGGTCAACCTGACCGAACAGTACCGACGATCGCGACTTACCGTGACCATATCGCCTCCCAAGGCCTAGTGTCAGACGACGCGGTCGGAGGACTATATCGGGGATACTTTTTGAAAGACTTTTTGCGTCCCATGAGTAGCCCCAACGCTTTTGAGGTCCTTGCTACCCCTAAGGTATGGCACGGGCATCCTATGGCTGCCATTCGAAGAGGGATTGCGATATTAGGAAGCGCCCGTTGTTATGCACTTGACCGGGCTACGCTTGATCAACTAGCCACACTGCGCCGTTTGTATTTCGATGACACGAGTCTCATTGACAAGAAGCTTTCTCAAGTCTACCACATTCCATCTGCAGGCCACAAGAGAAAGAGGAGCGAAGACAAGTCCGACCATAACGATCAAAAGCGCCGTCCCTCCGACACGAATATTCACGAAACCGTCCAGGATGCTCATGATGTTGGGAATGGGCAGGGCACACGCCATGTGTGTGCTCTGCCTACCCCTTCGTTCATAGATATCGAAGCTCATAATGATTTCTATGCCCCTAATGATTGGGTTTTGGGGCCTAATGCTACAGGAAATGATGCAATACAACGATTTGCGCCTTTATTCCAATCTAGAGACGTCGTTAAGCTACTCCGTTGAACCTCGCTAGTCTAATATTCTTATCCTGATAAAATAAACTTAAGATGGCTATATCTTCTCCTCTTATTATCATTAGGTGGAATCATCCCAACTAGTCCCAAGCTGAAAGCACGGGACGATCCTTTAACACTGCAACTCTTAATATCCCAAAGGCAAAGTACAGGAAATGACAAATGCGGTGCAACGATCGTAAAAGAAAAACAAAAGGATACCCATAAACCCCAATCACCCCGGATTTCATTTTGAAGACGGTTTTAAGATGTCAGCTCCCCTTATTAGACAGTACTTTAGACCGGAATAGATTTAAAATAGCAATGACACAACCAGAGGTCGTGCCTGGTGGGCTTCCGAATAGTACAGTGCTACCATGCACACGCCTTTCCAGCTGTCATACCTGGATTGAAGCTGGAGAAGGAAAACCCCCAAGATTCAGACTTTCAGAGTATAGTGCAAACTCCAAGACAAATAGGACATACAATTTTTGCTGAAATTATAAGTCCTCACCCTAAATGAAAACAGTAAAGTCATCTTGCTCACTATCATTTCGAAACCTGGTTTCGAAATCAATCTTGCACCCAGAATCACGCTCCTTTGACCACGAGACAGCTCAATGAGGAAGAAAGTACTTACTGATCCCAGCACTCTCTACGATGAAAGAGGATGAGAGCCATTTATAATCTAATACTTAGCTTAACTGTAACTACTTAAAGGTCTTGCTGCTGAAGCCACACATACTCGAAACCGGCATCGCTGGACACACGGTGCAGACCAACCGGCGGAAGCTGACAGTCAATACATCCAGTAAACGAGTTATCCATTGATAGGGCGCTGAAGCCTTTTAAATCCAACGCGTCCTTTATTTGTCTTAGCGTGAACAGGGTCTGGCTGGGAGTCCAACTGGAACGTTACATTTTTGAGGGAGATATTTCTATTCAATGCGACAAGTGCCAGATCAGTAGCCCCAGTGCGATGAAAACCCTCACAAACAGCCAGGTCATCACGGATGTTCGGATGATACACGATAGAATCATGTTCAGAAAGTCTATGTGAGGCAACCGTGAGGAATTGTCTATACAGTGAGTCCTCTACTAGAACGCCAGCTGTGGAGGACAGGTGGTTCGACATAACCATCACACCCGGCCGCAAAGGGGGCGGTATGAGGAATTGTCTACAACGTTACTGTCCACCAGTATCTTCTTCCGGAAAGCGGTACTTCCAGGTTGGGCCATCGCGGACGTAGAATGCAGTCACTCAGGAGATTTTCGCTGGTAGGCTAGAAATATCGATACCAGCTTCGACCGAGATTCTCCAACTGGAGAACCACCAGGTGACTTCCAGTATCTCAATATTTTCAGACTCAAAGAACGAGATAACAGTTTTGTATAAAAGTCTGTCCCAGGTTTCGTAGGCGTCAACGTTATCCAAAACATGATATTGATACCTGCCGGTGTTACCGAGAGTTCAAAGTTATCAGCAGTCAAGATCAGAGGTAGGTCTGTAACTGAAATCAAACAAGGCCTTGATAGCAAGTACTTTATATAAAAGATAATAAATAGGTCAGTCACTACTGCACCGACATAGGGAATAAATTATTAATTCTATCGGATTCTTAGATTTTGAGAAAGCCAATTAGAGTCGAGAAGGGTAAATCCTAACAATATATATTAAGAGTATATTTATAAAGAGTAGTTTGTTGGTGGGAAGTCCATAGTTATAGATAATACTAATAGGATAAATCACAAATCTGTACTGACTGGTCAGGATCTGAGTCAGTACTGGGTTTATATATTATATGTATCTTTCTTCTGTTTGATTCTACAGTTTGTCGTTTGATAGAGAAGAATAGACTCGATTCCTGTACAGATAACTAGATCCATTTCTTAGATTGGTTTGATAAATATGGGAAATCAGAGATCTTAAGAAATGAGATGTAATGAAGAGTTGGTTTGAAAGAGGAAAATATGTTGAGGAGTTTCTGGAAAAGATCATTCACCGTTGATTGCTCTAGCCTAGGCTTGTTCTTTCCTAGGTTTTGTGAGACGAGGAACTTAGAAGTCGCGAGAATATCGTAATACGCACAGGCACACCGGAGAGATGGTGAAAGGGAGCTTACCTAGAGGTTTTGTAGGGGCCCGAGAGTTGAGACCTTCTGTAGTGAGGATTGTAGTAACGTCGTGAGAGACGGAGGTTGCGGCACGTTACAGCCGTACAGGAGGAGTAGCGACAAACAAATTATAGCTTTTATATGATACTGGATAGTAAATTATTAATCATTAATTTGTAATATCTTGTAGATCAATATAGCGTATGTTAAATTATATTTGAATAATGAATGTATCATCTAGTTTAGTATGCTTTTTAACTAGATAATATTAAATATCAACAAGCAAAGTAGGAGATATTCATATAATACCAGAGCCTACAAAGTCGCAAGGCTTAATAAAGGGATCGTTCACGACAAAGGATAATATCTCCATATATCCTGATAGGATACCAGTAAACAAACCTAATTACACGAATAACATTTTTAGATCGCCCTATGGTTAGTCAAAGTATCTAGAGGAGTAGAATGCTTTCGGATATGATGACGAAGGTGCCCCTTCCATTGGCATCGAAGTAATATTAAGATTTCCTCTTGCTTCCTTATAGCCAAGGGGGTTACCTGATTATCTTTACCTTATTTTACCGTGCTTGGCAACGTGTTAATTATATAATACACCTTAACTAACGTAACCGGTAAGCAACCCGCACCTGTAAGCAACCCGCACCCCAACCGCCACATAAAAAATTAAAATAATCAAAACACCATGAATTTAGACTTCTATATAAAAATGAGTAGTTCTATCGATTCGGGCAGTACATGATTTTATGGCCCTGTACACCACAGCCAGAATATTTAGATAGGGCGTGCCTAGGAATCGATTCAGTAGAAAGAACTCTATCTGCCTGTACGGCTTTATCTGCCTGATTTCGGCACTCTATAAAGATCTGGGCTTCAGATACTGATATATCTTTTTCAAAAGTAATCTGCTTTGTAAAGCACTTTCGCTTTTTAATCTATCTTTTGTTTTCAGTCTGGTTTTAATCAAGTTGATACTTTAATATTGCTGTATTGTAGAAAGCTTGTTCAGTGTCTTTTATTATTTAATTTAGACAAGCTTTAATAGACGAGTCAGGACTGGAGTATCAATTTTTAAACAGTTTTTTAAAGCTAAATTCTGATTTCTCCAGCTGCTTAACTATATAAGGTATTTTAGATACTGAGCTGCTTTGACTACTAGGTCTACTACCCGGAGATATAGAAGTCTTGAGCTGAACTGTTAACTTAGATAGAATATACTTAGAAGATAGAGAAACTAGGTCAGTAGCTCTAAAAATATTATAAATATTACTACTAGTAAAGGTCTCTGTATAGGTTTCAGAATATATATTCAGAAAATCGAGTTTATCAATATAATTAAACTCGCAGTATATCTTAGATTAAACCAGGTCTCTGTACACGTGCTTTAAAGATAAGAAAATAGTAATATCAAGCAGTTGAAGCTTATAAGAAGCGTGCACAGATATACAGATTAGTATAATATTGTTTTCTGTACAGATCTGATTGAATTGAAATATTAGATAACTGTTGTGGCTATCTAGAATAAGTAGACAGTATTTTTCTATAGATCGGCCGGTAGTAAGAGGTATAAAATAATTCTGTAGCCAACATAGGCCAATATTATTACTTATTCAGCTATTAGAACTAATCTCAATTCTCTAATTAGAAGGAATCCTATTATTCTTGTACCAGATCTCTATATATATCTTGTCTTTGAAAATAATACAGGGAGATAGAGTCTATCTATTAGAATATATATATTCTATAGTAGTAACCTATTCCCGGTTCCCTGGCTGTAATAAAAATGGCTTGCCTGGTATATCAGACCTAGTAATAACTTTGGCTACAGCTATCAGGTCTATTATAAATTCTGTTTTGTCAAAATTATAGATATTACTTGAAGCTATACTATATTTCTGAATAGTCTTATTTATCTACTTAAACCAAGTATCTAGAACCTTAGAACTCTCTACTTTAGTATACTGATAATTGTAGCAATATATAAAGTAGATTTTAAGCTTAGGTATATATCTAGTAAAGTTGTATATCTATTTCTTCCCTACAGTAGTAGGGGGAGAAGTAGTATCATACTTTGAAAGCAGAAGATTGGCCATTTCTCGAATATATACAGGCTGAGAAGGTGCTCTATATTTATCTAGTAATAGAATCTATTCCTTAAGTAATTTCTCCTTACTAGAAGTCAATTTATAACTATTGACACGAGTATTATCTTTAAAAGTGACTCCTTTTAGGCGATTACATAGAGTAGAAAAAGGTATATTAAATGTCTGAGCTGTCTTCTTAATACCACGAATTTTATTATTTTTTAAAGCCGATATAGCCAGTAGGATCCTGCCTTCCTGCTCAACGTGTGATTTTGATAATTTAGGCATTTTTGGTGGTATGGCTGATGTTTGAATTATCTAGGAAATTGAGGCGCGTAGAAAACGCGGTTGGGGTGCGGGTTGCTTACAGGTGCGGGTTGCTTACCGGTTACGTTAGTTATCACCTGTCTAAACCACTGACTACCTTTGAAAGCCGCGGCGCGTTCGATAACCGCCGATCTTTTGTATAAATGACCAACATATACTACGGAGTACATAAGTAGTCAGATGGTTTCCCCAAGCAATGTCATCCTTTCTGAGACGATCCCTGTCAATAAGCTTGCGGCCAAATACCTTTTGCAACACCGCAAAATCGCGAACCGCGTTTACTCTGCATCCTAGGATAAGAATGTCCTCGCTATGGACGGCCATCACTTCATCACTGAACCCTCTGGAAAAGGCACGATCACTCCCCACGGATGGGTTCAAGAATATTGAGACCAGTCAATTGGTAGAAGAGGAGGAGCTGCCCGACTACCGAGCTGATAGATTCTACCCTGTTCGACTGGGCGGGATTTTCCAGAAACGATATCAAATCGTTGCTAAACTTGGTTTTGGTACTTCATCGACAACCTGGCTTGCTCGGGACCTGAAGTAAGCACCTGGGGTTTTCAGTTCTCTGTTATTGAGCTAACCTACGCAGAGAGCGCAAGTATGTCGCTTTGAAGGTGTATGTACATACCTCGTTGGTTCACCGTGAACTCCCATGCTACGGCCACATCAGTCGCCGTATTGCGGATAGTTCGCATCGCGGCCGCGGTAATATCCGGTGGCTGCTTGACTCCTTTGATGTAGTAGGTGAGCATGGTAAATATGCTGTACTTGTCTTCGAGGCGGCGCAAATGAGCCTGCGTGATATGAAGCTAGTGTTCTGGCCAGATGGGTTCGATGAAGACTTTGTCCGGGGGGCCATTACGGAGCTCCTTCGAGAGTTGGACTTCTTGCATAGCCATGGAGAGGTTGTCCATACCGGTATTATGCCTATTGACTTGGCCTGATCTGTCGCATGCCCTTCGCTGATCTGGTGCAGACGTACACCCAGGCAATATGCTACTAGGTGTTTATGATAACAACCTTCTGCAAAAGCTTGAAGAAAGGGAGTTCACATCTCCAGTACCTCGCAAGGTGGTTTCGGCTACTCGAACAATCTATCTCTCACGCCTGATGCGCCCCAGGGAAGGTCCAATGTTATTATCTGACTTCGGTGAGGCTAGGATTGGTCCGGGGCCACACGGTGGCGATATAATGCCCTTGGAATATCGTGCTCCAGAGACTTTGCTTTACATAGGTTGGAGCTACCCTGTCGATATCTGGAGTGTTGGCCTGACAGTAGGTCTTTGAAGATTTCCATCATTACCAATTCGCTCATATTCTTCAGACGCTAACAGTGCTCTGAGAACAGGCCTGGGACTTACTGGAACCAAAGAGGCTCTTCACAGCGCGTGATGAGGATGGCGATCTATACGACGCTGCTCACCTCGCCCAACTTATTGCTGCATTGGGCCCACCACCGCCTGAATTTCTGGCTAGGAATCCGGAGAGGAGAGCTGACTTTTGGGACGAACAAGGTACGATGACTCCCCGACGAAATAGATGGTCTACCCATGTAGACCATTATTCTGCATGGCTCCTATTAACACTGTTGGGGTAGGAAATTGGCTGGGTCTTGCGCCTGTCCCGGACTTGCGGACAATGGAAGCTCTTGAGACTCGCCTGCAAGACAAGTCAGGTTTTCTTCGTTTCATTCGAAGAGCTCTGACCTGGATGCCGGAAAATAGAGCAACGGCTAAGGAGCTCCTACAAGATCCTTGGCTGACAGGCGAGAGACCTTAGAGTCCCGTGTAATATCAAGCAAGATCTAAAAGAGGCTTAAATCGGATCAGTCATAAATACATGACTATCATAACCTTCTCCTGTCTTGACAAATATGCTTCCTTTTATTTTTTATCCTATAATTTTCATTATAATCTCAAAGAAACATTAATCGACTCAAATGTTAAATCTGAGGCTACCAACTCATGAATCAGTCCGATTCCATTGTCAGTAATTATCTCGACAGGATTCCCTGCAATAGTATTTGCACATTGGCTCCCAAGGGTCAGCAATTATGGTGTATGAAAGCTACGGACCCGGCCAAGGAATATGTATGGGACCGAGGTACCACTGCTGATTTTCTGTAGCTAGCGAGCCACTTGAGCCTGAAATACATGGCAATATCTGAGCGGTTGGTATCCGCCAGCAGTCTCTGCGTCTTCAGTGGAGATTCGTATCCTACAGCCAAACATGATGTCACGTTCTTTGGTCCCTAGGCTTAACACGCTCCTTGCATCTGCTTGGGCCCTTTAAAATATTAAACCCTGCTGTAGTTGGTCATTAAGAATTTGACCATTCATGTGTTTTCGGACCTTCTTCCACTATTCTTCCTGGTCAGTGGTTATGTATTTCACACAGTGGTCAATAACATTCCCCATTAGACTCAGATATATATATATATCCCCCACATTGGTTAGCTCATTTCTCTGGGCAGAAGGCTCGGGTTCTAGAGTACGTAAAAGAGAACTCAATTTGGTCTCTCTTCAGAGGGTCTACGGTTTAATATATCGCTCAAACTGACAAAGTCTAATGTTGAACAAGCCGGTAACCCTGTCAGAGGACGAGGCTCAGCGTATCCATCTTATGAAACTGAGTAAGGTGCACAGAGTGCTGATAACCCTGACTCTGTAATGATCCTTACGCTTGAACCCAAAGAACAACGAATTACGCTTGCAGTACAATGGAACTACAAAAGCTGCTCCATGACCACTCAGACTTCAATTGCTTCTGACACCCACTACCAAGCCTCAAGCGAATATTATGATTTCATATCAGTGTCGCCTGTGTCACGTGCAATGCATTGCTATAATTTCAATGAATGTCATTCCTGAAAAGGCACGTAGGCGAAATTTTCTACTACCTCTGCCCTAACATATCAAACTATATGGCAGTAAGTTTCACCAATAGACTCCCTTTTCATTATATGTACAGTAATACTATACCGCAAGGATGGGTTATCACTAAGCTCATAAGCCTAGCTGAGTCCCTGCATCTCAAGATCCCCGGTGCTACTGCTCTATGGACTGGAGGGCTAGTCAGTTCACAAGCTTGTTCACCAGAGTTTCTGTATCCATCTGGATGAGCCCCCCCGGCTGAGCCAGCAACTGCAGATTGGCCTCTTCTAAGCGCCCTGTTGTAGGCTTGACCTTGGCATCTGGCCAGCCCATATCGACCTTGAGACTGTCCGTATCCATGCTGACCTCCGCCAATGTACACCAGCCTAGCAAGGCTTCCTTGGTCTTTACCTCTCCTAACGCTTTTCTCTGCAGCCAGGATCCTTTTATTGCCTGTAATTCACTTACCCGGAGCTGCGCATCATGAGAAGCAAGTTCAAGATGCCATATCACCTGACCCTTAATGTTGGTGTCAATCGGAACTAACGCCGTCGACATAATCACATTTTGCCAAAGGAGTGGTAGAATCAAAAACCCAATATCTCCTGACTTGATCATCTGCACCGGAGGGTATTCTCTGAAACATTGACGGCAGCTCCCAATCGAAAGTCATCACTTCTTGCAACCAGTCCTTGCAAGAACCCCCTACCAATGTGGGTATAGGTTCATCCCGTGATCGAGTTGTAGGCGAGATGTTTCTATCAGATTGCTGCCAGCTATCTTCTCCGTACCCTCGATGCCCCATTCAACAGGTGCAAATCCTCCACGGCTGCGCTGAGTGTCGTAATCTTTGACAACGACCTACATTGAGAACAGCATACGTCAAATCATCTTGTTTCACCAGTCGTACTGGGAGAGAGGACAACCGATAGCTTCTTTCACCTTCCCAAATCTCTCGAAGCCCTGACGTAGAGTTGCGTTGGTTGTGTGCCAGGTGAGGCACTGCTGCCGTCAGTAATGGGCACCGAAGCAAAGGAAACCACTAGATCAAACCCACCCGGTAAATCGCTTTGACACGGCTAGTTGCTCAGCGGATATGAACTCGGTTGTTGTTGTTGCCACGAAAAAGCAGTTGTGGATTTCGAACCTGGGAAAACGGGGGATTAAATGCTACAGCGTCACAGTCTTGCGCGGCTGTGGAGAATACGGCACTAGCAGCGATGAACGTCATGTTTCGTGCCTTTCCATCAACTTATATGACCACTTATTGGTCAATGGTCTCATATGTTTGACTATTACTAGGTAACTCGGATGATGCTGTAAAGGCCACCCAGAATGCTTTATAACATACCCTCCAGCCACTTATTGAACCAATTGATGGCGTTCGCTTGCAGCATAAGTGACAAGTTGGCTTACTGGTATTCGGATACATACATAATCGGCGCACGTATTTGTTTTCTAGTGTCTTAGTTTGCCCTCCGCGGAGTATATCATGAGTGTCACCTTTGTTCGGAATGACTTAGTTTGTACCGTGGTAATCACGGCATAGTTTGTCCATGCTTTAGTCATCCCTCGCACTCTACTGTATGGCCTTCACCTTCTATTGATTTACCTTCCGCTCCATCTAAGACACCTGAACCGTAGCGTTCGGACACATTAGGCTCAGTATCCTCTTACTAGTGATAATGGTTCCCGATGGCTTGGAAACTGCCACTTCTAAGACACTTGACGCGGGTGATGGCTTTCATAGCCTGGGGCGTCGAATCGGAACAACCTTCAGGGTTCCGAGGGACAAGACCCTATCATCAGCAAGGCCGAGTCTCAGTAAGGCAAAATATCGATTGGAACCACCCCCTTCTTGCGGTGGGATACCCTGTGGAAGATAATGAGGTTGAAAAAGTCACTAAACTATAGACTGTTCATGGATCACAGAGTTAAAAATATACATATTTCCATCATATGGTATCGTTTCGGTGGGAATTGGTCTACCAGCAGCATTGCATCAGCATAAGCTCTAACGGAATTCTATTGGGCGATTCCATTTCATTTTCTGAAGATTCTAGCCGCTTTTTGTTGCCAAAGGCAACAGTATGAGTTGCAAGGGCTGTGTTTATATAGTAAGAGAATGGTACCCATTGGCTATATGATATCGGAGTTGCTTAGCTGCATATGTCGGCAAGGAGCTGCCACCTGCTGCCAGCCACATAAACTTGTGGGTAAACACTTTCCCGCTTATATCCGCTACAGTTGTAGGTAATACAGTAGATTGATTACTGTTGGTAAGAGAATATCCATACAGCGTAAGATCTTTCCTCCAGGAATTAATTCAGCTCTTACCAACATGCGCATCATGTCTCAAACCTGGCTTTCGCCACTGGTGTAGTCCGCACACTCCCTGTGAGTATTAAGAGATCTCTCGATGATCGGAGTATACATGGCCCTTCCCTCATAGATTAGTGGTCTTAGCTTGGCTAGATATACACTTCCACGGCACGGCTATAATTACAGTCACTTCTTGGAAAAGTTTTTATCTTTAACCTCCGGGCTGTGGCTCCAATCTAGATCTACAATGAAATACGCATGACACTACTCCGTACATATGAACCATCGACCAATTCGTGTGCGGGTAATAGTTTCCCAGTATTGCAACCATTTAGCTTCGGGCCCCGGAACTGCATTGGACGCAAGTACGTCTTCCGTTTTACCTCTACTTATTTATATCCTGCTGATGACTTTTCGTTTAGCTAACGCTGTCGTCTTATTCTGAGTCGTGTACTTTACAATTTTGACTTCGAATTGGATGAAAGGAGTGGGAATTGGAATCGACAGGAAACATATATTCTTTGGAACAGGCCGTGTCTTTATATTATGCTGCGCCCTAGGGTTAGGAATTAGACATTGTAATTAAATGAGAAGTCGAGGGATCTAGACCTAGGGTTAGTGTGATTAGTTATCTCTTGATGGCTGTCTTTAATGGATGAATATCTACGACGTTCTGATTTTATTCCTGCGGAGTAAGTGGCTTCTATAAAGTAGGGTACGATAAAGAGTAAGCTATATTATCACCGGGCTTGAAATAATCTTCAAAATATACCTAGTCCACACTGATTCATTTACTATGATATTTTAGCGGAGGGGCAATTTTGTCCATTGCCACCCTGAGAGCAACCATAAACTACTCAATGGATATAACCTCCATTAACCCTAAACCCCAGACAAGTCAACGAACGTGGTTCCAGAAGCACACCAAAGCAGTCAACGGCTATTAATCTACTCAATCCGAAGACAGCTTAAAAGCTTTAGGACATGTTTTGAGCTTGTCCTTGACTTATAGAATACCGTGCCGGACAAAATGGCTTACAGAGAGGTAGGTGCGAGGCATGTGAGAACGGGAGCTATAATGGCCTAATCATAAGAGTGAGATACTCGGAGCCTATAAGCAGTGGTAAGTGGAGGGGTGACCCGGTTCTGATATATTGATCATCTTTCATTCGCCTATAGAGAACTGTATAAAGTAGAAGAAACTCCGACGAGCTACCTACGGCAGGCGATCGACGCCATGAATACTGCTGTCGAAAGTCCCGACCATACCAACCCTGAGCCAAGCGAGGGTATTTAGGAACCAAAGAAGCTAGACCGGAAGAAAAGGGTTTAATTTCATTGTCATTTTCATATAGGGATGTGCTGGACGCTGGCTTTGTTGATATATATAGCCCGGGTCCATCGTCATTATTTTATGAATGTCAGTGACGGAGAATGATATGATTTAAGATATTCTGTTCGCGACAGAGTATATAGATGTTGCGAATAGGGGTTAAATCATGCTCCAAGTTATCTCGTGTGTCTAAAATCATGCGACTTCCCCGCTTTGCTGCATCCGATATTATCAGTCCAAGATGTGCTGGATCCCCACTCCCAGTAGTTATACATATAATTTCGCCAAAGGATAACCATGCTCTTCTCCTCTTGTTCAGCATTACTCTGTACAGCGAGGATGTAAAAGTGCAATTATGCTTCCTGAACGCTTTCAACAAAAAGAACTGGACCATTTGAGCAGTCAAAACGCCATATAGTTAGCCTCCATAACCCCGCCCCCCCCTGCAAGAGAGGGATACCAGGTCCAACAACCCAGAAGAGAAGATCACCTTCAGCTGAGAAATTCGAAACGGGAAATAATCGGCCTTAGAGGGTACCACCACGGACGATTGACACACACACCAAGTACTAGTGCGACGGACCGTTCACCCCCGGATCTGCACATGCGCTCTCCATTACCTCGCGGCAGGTCAAGCGCGGAAACACTCAACGAGATAATGATCATCTGCAGAGAAGGATATGTCATGTCGACTAACCGTTTCCTTAGCCCTAAACGAGGAAATAGAATTACATTACATCAGTGATCTTGGGGTTCCGACTATACTAATCCAGTATACGGTATGTACTAGTAGGAATCGGGATACGAAGAGCAAATATATTAATGATCATTCTCGCGTCGAGGATTAATTTATTGGAACTTAGATTCAACTTATTGAAGGGTAAGTGTTACGCATCATATCCATCGTATTGTAGTCTAGATTATCTGATCAATCCGATAAGCCATTTGCCAATAGTACTCCAAAACCCCTCAGCCCCAGATACAATGATATGTACGATAGATAGGATAAGAATCCGCCCCTCGACTAAGGTCAACCTTAGTAGGGACGTAGTACTTGCTGGTTTAGTTAACCTCGCCTAGCCTAGCCTAATTTAGCCCTAACACACGAGTCACACCCCCGCACGACACTGGGTTAGTGTCGTGTCACTGAAAGTAGATACATACATACATACATACATACATACGGAGTGTATAGATAGATAGAGTACTTAATACTAGTACTACACACCTACACACATCGACATATGCAGTAGTGATTAAGAATCCACAACACCTCCCCCTTCAAAAGGATATACATTACCGACTTACACGAGTCAGTCCCCAGAAACCTAACCTTAACCCCCATAGACACACGTACATAAGGTAAACCCAATATTACTGCTAGACCGACCGAGCTGCATGGTATACGTATCATAATCATGTACTCCATACTACTAACTCGTAACTACTAACTAGTTAGGTACCGAACTACTCCGAACTAACCTCGAAGCACGGTCATCCCATGCAATGCAATCCAACCAGGAAAGGTTAGGGTCGACTGACGGCACAACCTTCCATATTCATCCGCAAGCCAAGGCGAACAAGAAAATTGTGTACATAAGGCAACCCGCATTGTTAAACGAAACCCCACGGGGAGATTCCGAATGAGGCAATTTATGCGAGAGCGTGCGAAACGGATTCCGGAACCCGATGGGATCGTGTTTTTTGTTTACTTGGAACTTGGGCTTGGCTGCTCCACTTCCTTTTCGTGTTGGTTGCTTTCTTGGGTCTTTTTTGTTGGTTTTCTCTTTTTTTTTTTTTGGTCGGGTTTTGTTTTATCGCGTGGGTTTGGGTTTGGGTTTGGGTTCGGGGATTGCCGAAGGGGTATTGTTACTATTGATGGTGATGGATGGATGTACATATTGGGTTCTGGGTTTGTGTATTGTAATCAGGACTTGGATTTTGTGTATATACCTATTGTGAAATAGAAAAGATATACAGTGCAAGATGTACAATTGCCTCGAAATCAAATAGATCCAGTGTTGAATCCGGTTTCTTTTTGTGAAATATCCTGTTTCCTAACGCCTGTATCGCCCTGCCTTTCGTTGGTGGTTCCGTGCATCGTAAATCATAGACATAAATCTGGACATGAAGGAGAGTGAGAAGGTTAAATAAATGAAAAAAAGCCCCCATGCAAGCAAAAATAAACGCAATAGTTGACTGTACAAGAACCATCATAATATAAACAGTGGTAGATGGCTGGTGTATGTACTAGGTAGATGTTGATGCGGATGGCTGCTGCTCGCCATCATCGCCGTGGCGTCGAGTGCGAATGCGGAATCGATCACGCAGGCGTGACGTGAGTCGACCACGTCGCTGTTGTTCTTCTTCATTCTCGATGCTGTTGCGGTTTTCTTCGCGTACGCTCCGTAGCGCGGCCAGGCGCTCTTCGACGGTGGCTTCACGCATCCGGCGCGCGTTCAGCGTTCCGTGCAGGTAGCTGGTTAGGCGGCGGTGTCGGTGGTGCGATTCCTCTGCTGCTGGTTCGGCGGTGCCCTCTTGTGGTGCCTCCGTGTTGTTTTCGCCTTCTTGGTTTTCATTCTCGCCTTCGGGTTGGGCGGGATTGAGGTCGATGCGGCTGGACGTTTTGTTAGCGATTGCGATACTTCATTGTTCTGAGGAGGGATGGGACGCATACCAAAGAGGACATGTACCCGATACGTTTACCAGCCAAGGGTCAATACACTCCGGGTGGAATTGGTGGTTGCAGGGCAGGACACGCAGATCCTGGCCCTTGACGAAGTCGTCGGTACAGATAGGGCACGAAAAGTTCGGATGATCCGTGGATTCCGTCGGCTTGGTTTGTTGTTCTGTAGTGGACTCGGTCGTGGTATGGTTCGTCACCGCCAAAGCAGGAGTCGCCTGAGGATTCGTCTCGTGCACGGTGGTTGTTTCTTGAGTAGAATCTGGCTGACGGCCCGTCTCATCTTCAGAGCCCATCTCCACATCACCCTTGACGGCATCCAGCTTCGGATCCTGTTGATTCCCGAACTTCACAATCGGAATCGTATCCAACATCGCCCTTGCCATCCCCTTCGTTCGACTTTGTCGTGGCCGCCCCGCGGTATATCGAGGTCCGTACCGTTCCGGGTGACGATGAGCCCGGACCGCGCCGGTAATGATGATGGCTAAAAAGAGCGCCGTGATGATACCTGTAATACTATACAGAATAATCATAGCTGTGATGCAAGGTCAGCCGCCATGGCAATGCATGCGCTGACATGGAAGGCTCCTACCAGTATTAGGGCTGTCCGTCGCCCCACCGGAATCCCCGGAGGTGGGCGGCGTGCCGGACATCGTAAATGACATGTCGGGTTTGATGCTCGTCGAACCGTTCCCCGTAGAAGAATGAGAGAGATTGGTGACAACCTTTGCGAGAGAGGGATTCACTAGCGTAAAAACGTTGATGTATCCGTTGGCGTTGGGACCTGCGGTGTAATTGCAGTGATGCACCTCGGAACTGTACAAAAGAATCGCCGATGCACGGTGCGATGATGTAATGACGTTGCGAACGGTCTCACTTGCATCTAAATTTCCGGGATAGGCGGATTGGTCGCAACTGATTAGGGCAATATCACTCGTATTCAATGAGATGGCGTTGGTATCGTCCACATTCACGAGGTTACCCGTAACATTGAAGTTCTACGCGGGGACGGTCAGCATTATCAATTCAGGGTGCTGGGTTCATCCACGCAGGCCGCACGAACCGTCAGTTCACTCCGATCGAGATTGACCAAGGCCGTGGTCAACGGGGTAACGCTAACGCCCGACGGAAGCTGAATCTGGGCGCTCTCCAGGTGAAATCTGGCTTTTCCTACCCACGAAAGATCCCTGGAGTTGTTGGACGGCACCACAGACCAGCCGGACGAGTCTACCGCGAGGATTGGAGTCGATAGAGCGGAAACAAGAAGGAGGAGGAGGAGAGGAAGAGAGGAAGAAGAGAAAGGAAAAACCGAAGGGTCCTGAATGGGCCCCATCGAAGAAAAAGCCAAGCTGGGAGCGAATGGATTTCCCCACGATGACGAGGCTTACGGATATGGCGGAGGTGATGGGGCGCAGGAGATCATTTAGGTCCGGATCTTCTGCGTTCACCGATGCCGAGCGCCTATAACAGAAGCAAGGAAAGGAAGAAAAAAAAAATTAAAAAAAAAAAAACCGAAACAGAAAAGATAGATAGGTACAAGAAAAATACTGGCCGATGACGGTCTGATGCACCGTGACGGTGGGGGTTCCAACAAAAATGAAGTGCAATAACCGGGGAACAAGATTTGGGGGTGAAAAAAAAAGTGGAATCAATCGACTCGGTATCGATAAGCAGAAGGATCAATGGAAGCGGATGGATGGATCACCGACAACGGGAGAGGTTGAAATTCGGAGATGCGGTGGAGAGAGAGTGAGAGGGGGTTATGTCAGAGGGGGGGGGGAAGAGGACCCTCTGGAACCAACCACCGCGACTTGACGGTGGAGTTGCCTTCTTAGGGTTGCAGTGATGAAGAGGTCCGTTGGATAAAAAGGCAAGTCTGTCAGAAAATGATCCGGATGATCCGATGAAACAGCCTGTGGAAATTAAAGGGAACACCCAATATATTGGATTCAATCCAGTCGAGTGTACTCACGCATGTGGGGGAAAGAAAAGGGAAGAGAGTAAGTCGTTGCTTGTACTCTGTAGATATAATAATTATTCTAACTAAAAGGTTAAAGTAAACTTCAGGAACTCATAATCAATGACTGATACGGCGATTCGAACGAGGAACCATGGATTCACGGACGACTAATCGAGTGACTAATTCGGCCTGAACAATACGAAAACGATAAGGGGATCATCATCTGCTTGGGTTTCGGACTTGATTTGTCCAGAGCGAAAACCCGAGGTACAGACAGAGTACAGAACATGCATTCGGTCCAGTCCAATCAATCCCACATCGCGTCTTGCGCTCATTGCAATCCCATCCAGGTAATCACATAAAGTTCGTTTTGATCTTCTTCGATGCGATTTGATTTTCTTCCGCTTTCGATTGTTAAACATTTTACAAGATGCGGGGGAGGTCCTCAGTAGTACTACTCCGGTAAGTACTGTAAGGACTCTCGAGTCCCATCGGTTTCTCGCGCTTAGGGCCAATAGACGTCACATGTTGGCCGATCTTGTCTCATTTTTCAGGCCAAGACAGAAAGGATTATCGCCCAGTCAACCTATGGGGAAATACACTCAAGTCGAACAATGTCCATTGAATTGCTTAAAAGGGTGGGGATGGACCATGCGAATAACACAAGAGGGAAAAAAAAAAAAAAGTAACGAAACGCACCTGATGTGAATGCAATGAGTTGCGTCATCTATCAAAATGCGGTCCAACCTTCAAACTCTCCGCACCTGGTGATCCGCTGGCAGACAGCTCTTCTCCGACCATCGAGACTCGATGCCATACCATGGTATGCCGTTCCCAGTGCCATGGCTTGCAAAAATAATTCGCTGGCAAAATGTTGGTCTGGGGGGTACTGTGGTGTGTCCGATTTTAGAACTACTATTCCACCTCTCTCGTGTTCACTGAACCCCAACGTGGACAAGCTTGATTCGGAAATCCACTTCGAGGCTGAGATGGGACGGTACGCCCGATAATGGATTGTTTCAACACAGCCTCATCATCCCAGTGCCTGAATCCAGAAAATCACGATCGGGTGATTCCTTCCACCCCAATTGATTGATCTCAAGTCATATACGAAGTAAATCATTATCCTTACAGAAGATAGAGCCAAAAAAAAAAAAAAAAAAAAGAAAAAAATTGTCCTGTCGACTGCGGGTTCTCCGCATCTGAGAGTGGCACGCCTCCGCGATCGGAGGGCAGGCGAATCTCCGCACTCGGGGCTCTGCATGTTTATCGACCTTCCGCATCCAACAGGATCACTACCTGCGTGATGCGGATTTCTAACTGGGTAATGCTGCGTCCCAGTATCCAAATGGTTGGATCTCTTAGTTCTCCATTTCCCTAGGATTTGATTCGGTCGGCTTGCTTTCTAGTCCCTGTCAGTTGCTTTGTGCTCGGGGTTTACCCTGCCTGAGGTGGGTTGATCGACGCCGGGTTGACGATCTCACCATGCAATCACAGTTTCTCTTGCTAATGACTCGAGACATAATCCAATCATGGGTGGTCATTTGCGAGAGTAAAAAGAGATGTTAGTTCTCTTGTAGCGAGAAAAAAAAAAAAAAAAAAAAAGGCGTCAAGTGGTTCATTTTATAAGGGTCGTACTAGTTGGCATCAGCCGTCACGGGTACTAGTGAGTAGTGAGTCGATAGAAATTGATAATTGTAGGCTCCGCAGGTTGGTTAGTACGCGGTTGTGCCCGGGTTTTAAAACACTGCAGCGTTTCAAGAAAGGCAAATCAAGAAAAGAAAAAGGAAAAGAGGAAAAGGTAAGAGAATAAGCATCAACAACCAATCTATGCAGTCGATATGGTGATACAATAGGTCAACCATATTGCAACTCCAACTAGGGCGACGCACAAGCCACAGCTACAACTACCAACCGATTGACGCGAATGGACCATTCCAGGATAACACTCACAATCCCATTGCTCACCGCAAAAGCAGCGACACAGTGAAAGTCCTTGTGTGACAACGCCTTCCCTTCTGCATGCCGTCCGACATTTCATTCCCGTGCCAACAACCCCGGAATATCCAAAGCTTGGCTAGGGTCTAACAATGTAACTTGCCCGATGAGTTAGTTACCTTACGTTGACTCGGAGAAAAGAACCCTGAACGTTGTAATTTCCGAAAAGCTGCTCTCTCACGGGTCTTTCCTGTGTCTTTGATTGCTTGATCTGGTGGCGGATTTACGTCTATGCCCGGAAATTGGCAAAACTCGGGATCTGGCATATCCTTTAGTCATAACGCCGCTTCTCCTTGGTTCCAGTCCATATCCCATCCCGGCCGAGGAAGGCGACGCAGTATCGTCAACAGTCTGCAGGCCATCACAGACAAATCAAACACGGGAGGAGGACACCGCGAATATTCGCTATCTACCGCACATACCCTGTATATAACTCCTTCTTATGCATGGCATCATCCAGCGGGTTCCCAATCAGGCCGTGTGGATACTACACATTGAACCTTATCCGGAGACTATGAACTCATAAAACCCCGTGATCAGGACTTTGGTGTTCAGCGGGCTACTCATGAAACCCACACAGGTCAATGTGGCCTGCAGAGTTGACAGTTGATCTGTCTGAAAGGGCCTGGAGGAGGTCCGTGAGACGCTGCAAATGATGCCGTAAGCAGTGGAGGCGACTGGAAAATGTGAACTACAGTAAGAGCTGGGAAGTTGTTTGCGTGACATCTTCGGGGAGTCGCGTTCATCGACAGGAGGGAAGGTCTGGAGCGAGGTTATCAGGCTCTTCTTCCTTTCGGCAGTTGTTTATCTCCCCTCGTATTTGAAATCAGTGGGGGGGGGGCTTTTTAAAGGAAAGGACACTGGGTTGAGGCACGGATATCAGATACCGGATGAGGCGTCTGATAGTCCAGCTGCATCGGCTGCAAGAAGACATGCCAGAGTCATAAGGGAATCCACCCGGCCCAGTCTTGGCATGGTTGAGAACGAGCTTTCTGTGGACTGATGGATTCCCCATCAGATGACGACGATTGGTGGGAAACATGGGTCTCGACCCTCCATGACAGCAACGCTTGGTCCGTGTGTAGGTTGCTTCCCAGACTCCGACACGATCATCAAAAAATCCTAAAAGTTGTGGGATGGCAGGATGATGAATCCCACGGTGAGGGTGGTGATAGAATGCTCTTGTCGCATGGGATTCATGGGCTATGCTATTACTAGTAAGGAAGGTTAAGACCGAAGGTAAGGTACAGTCCAGAACTAAACCTGATGGAGCTCTTTCTCCCCCAGGGCGGCCAACCAGATATGTCCGGGAAGGCTAAATGGAAAAGGCAAGTGAGAGGGATAGTTTGAAAAGACTCGGATGCATGAAAGTGTATGCATCTCAACAAAGAAAGCGGTTGCGAGGGTTTTAAAACCAATCTGGCGGTTTTAGTCGGCTTTGTTCAGAGAACTTGAAATCCCTCTAGATCAGCAGGTATCAGTCACTGATGACTCGGTCAGATGCCAATCATGATCTTTTTTAAAGACAAAGGACAAGGGGAAAAGCGACATGGTCATCAATCCTGGAGGTGGGTATCTGGTTTGATTAGTGTCGTGCACAGAGAGTAAGAGCGAGAGAGAGAAGGGTACATAGGAGAGGACAAGTAACGAGGATGAAAAAAGAAAATAATAATTTAAAAAAAAAAAAAAAAAAAAAAAAAAAAAAAAAAAAAAAAAAAAAAAAAAAAAAAAAAAAAAAAAAAAAAAAAAAAGGACAGACCGAGAGCACAGACAAAGAACAAAAGATGGATATTAATTTGACAGATCGGGTGGCCCACAAGTATATCTAAAACCGCAGGGGAAGAAAAAAGGAAAAATAGAAAAGAAAAGAAAAAAAAAATCTCAAATAATAATAAAAAAGAAAAAAAAAAACGTCTATTAATTACCAATAGACCCGCTCTCAAGATTTGTTCCCACCCCCAGAATCTACAATTAGAAAAAGAAAAGAAAAGAAAACCCATTCAATAAAGGAAAATCATGGCAAAAAGGGTAGACTAAAAAGAAACAGAACCAAAAGAGAACCATACCAAACTGGGCCAAAATTAGTAGCACGGTTCCATAGGCTACGAGGGCCTGGAATATTTACCCATCAGCGCATCCCCGCTTCCATTTGAGGCCTCGAACACCGAACCAGCCATGACTCCGCTGAACTGGGGACTACAATTGGCCCGCAACGACAGGGAGGCGTGCAAGGTTCCCTGCTTGAGGGTCACTCTTCATTCCCAATTCATAACCATTGACTGAAGACTTACTACTTCCCTCCC